CAGCGTCGCTTGATTCGCTATCAGCGTTTGATGATATAGGTAAGTTATCAATAGGTATTATTGTTACTCCAGCTGGAACACTCTGTGATACATGAGAGTGAGCCGGAGTAGGTACTTCCTTGCTACTATATGTGTGTTTCCAGATTTCTGCTAAACAAGCCGAACTGTGAAAGCGGAAGAAAACGAGAAGGGGCATCACAGCTTGAGCAATCGTTAAGTAAGTTGAATCGGCGGAATCTTGAATTCCATAAGTTTGCTTCATCGCTGAAACAAAGCAACATGAATCTTCAATTGCAAATAAAAAAAGTTACCTTCAAAAGTGTGGAAAGCGAATAAGGTAAGATTACAAACAAGAAGGAAGGTTATAACTTGTTTACCAGGCTTATGTTTGATAGCGAAAGTAGATAAGCAACGTAATCTGAAACATCACGGATGAGTTTGTGTTCACTCTGCGAATCTGTCACCTTGATACAGTTAGAATAAACACAGTTTGTACGGCTACTTGCAGAAGACGAGTGATGAACACGAAAATGGGCAGAAGAGACTTCTGATCTGCCACATGCCGACGATTGTTGATGAAGACATCAATGCCTAGATTCATTACAACAGTGTTTAAATAGAATTCAATAGGAACGTACCGATTGTACAGTATGTTATCTCTCCTGTTAAACCAACAATCAACAGAATTTCGTCTATGACTTCGCCGTGGGCGTACAGGCGATACTGTAGCCGACGCATCCTGAACATTCGCACGTAACTTAAGAACTGGAATCTGATCGAAACTCACTGATAGAATCCTAATAGGCACGCAAGCAGAGCAACAGAGAAGAGACAAATATCTACAATTCCGAAGACAAGGTTTGTTCCGGTAGCATCTTTCTGCTGCTCGAATAGAGTATAAACCCCCATTGATACGAGGGCAGCTGTGAAGAACATTATTCCGGCGAACAATCCAGCAGAAGAATGGCTATAAAGAGATAGTTGTAGAGAATATTGCAACATTCAGAAGTTTAGAGGAAAAGAGGAAGAAATATTTTTCTCAACGGAAGTTAAGTATTCATGTTGACTTACCTACAGTCCATACCCATACGATACTTCCTCTTCTTCTGAGATTCACCGTGAGCATGGTGTGGATGATCGATGGATCGCCATATAATGAAAATGACTGCAGCTCCAATGACAGCGTATCTATAAGCAGATAGAACATGCACGAATCTTCTAGATTGGGAACTTACTCAACAAAACATGTTGTAAGGAAAGTAGCTAAATCTCCGAAGTTTTCCATTGAAAACATCCTCTGCTTCGTATGGAAGCTGTAAGCTGGAGTCGTTGTGGCAGTCGTGTTCACATAAGAAATGGTTTTTTTGATGACTGCCTCCAGAGTGTCATTGGCAACATCCGACAGATACCCATGACCAATCGAATATATATCAGACTCTTCACTTGAAGATGAAGAAGATGAAGACGAAACTTCAGTTTTCATTTGCTCCATGTGCTTCTTCTTCATTTTCTTATGCGACTTAAAGGTCTTGAAAAATGTTCTAATGTAAAACGGGTTTGTAGGCTGCAAGTCTACCTGCTTGACAAGAACGAATCGGAACCAAGTCCACAGGTTTATAGCGACCAAATGCATAAACCCAAACTTGCATAAGCTCTTGAAGCGAACAATCGAAATCTGCAAAGAGCTCACAGGTTGAGTGGCTTGGAAGCCAACTAATCACCTTGGTGTTACAGAATAGAAAATGCATTTGCAGGAAAGTAAAGAGTAATCCGGTAATGTGCTTTGCTATCACTATGTTCTTGAAAAAAAACTTTTTCTGAGTTTTCTTCTGATCACCTTACCCTACACGTAGCATTCTTGAAACAGAGGAATATTTCTAAGCCGAAGAGAACAATTCCAGCACATCCGAAGACTGAAATGGAAGTGAATAAGAGTTAGTATCTTGGAATGAAATGATTACATAAAGCTCCTAATCGGAGATAAAGGGTGCCTGCACCCTCTCCGTTATGACTGACAGGTTCCAAATGATATTTCTAGAAAGAACAAGAATGAGTAACGGTTATGAAGATGTGAGAGGATACTTCTGGATAGTCAATCCATCCACGCTTTGCTAATAATTTTGTACAAAAATTAATTGGCTGTGGATATATCATGACACAATATAAGAACAACAAGAATACAATACCAACGCCATACATACAGATGAAGAAAATCTGAAACGGTAAGGCATAACTGGCATTCAGATAAGAGAGGCTTACCGTTTCGCCAAGCCACAGATCTGTCTGCCATACTGGAGATACTTCTATTATCCCAGAGAATATCACTACAATCAACGTGTAAAGACACGATATCATACTGGCAAAGAATTTTCTGGAGAACGAAGGTATATGGTAAGAAGCGGAAAAGAAAACACTCACGTAGCTTTCTTCTTTTTCATCCATGTTTCTTCATACGCGCTATGATCTATAAGGCTTTCACTTCGTCCATTTTCGCCTACGGCTGGTCGATGATGAGAGGAGGAATGATGATCCATTGCATGAACCATTACTCGACTAACTGCAAAAGTGGAATCTTGATAAGCTGGCTTGACACTGTTATATATATATACATCAGGAAGTGGAATGGTCAATAGAAAACAAAGAAGTTATTTTTATTTGATAACAGCTACTCTATTTATCTGATAACAGGGGTTAGATGTAACAGAGAAGATTCTTCAAATGACGTGACGCCCACTAATCTCCAGTTTAAAATTAATTTTTTAAACTTGAAAACTATAGGTGAAAGTGCGAGATAAAATTTTCTTAGAATATTCGTATAGTTAATCTAATGATAATACGAAGCGCGACTAGACTGTTGCCGTAAGCGGCTGACAACAAGTGAACGCCTTGTATGAGAAGCATGAAAGAACAATGATAATTATCTTTTTTTTTGTGTTTAGTACAAAGGCATCTTTCGGAAAGATAAAATGAAGAAGTGATCAGAGGGGGAAGAAGAAGTTCCGTAAGGAGGAGCTTTCGCACTTCTCTCCCACCGTCTTAGCATTGACTTAAACGACTTGAGTGATACGCGTTCTGTCAAATTCAAAAGGAGTGCCAAACCTCCCACTATTGCCACCGTAGGGCAAACAATTTAAAAAAATCTTTGTATGGAAGTGAATAAAAGGCGAATATAAATTGTTCATAGAGCAAATTTCAAAAGATCATCAGTTGGAAATCTGAAGTCAAGAAACAAGGCGAAGAGAGAGAGAGAGAGAGAGGTAAGACAGAGATAGTCTGCTTTGCAAGGCCTGCGTACATCTATGTACAGATAGCAACATCTGTACGGAACATTTTGATCTCATGTTAAGAGAAGAAACAGCAAGTTTCGCAAGTGTCAACTTCAGATAATCTGTTGGATTTTAAGAAAATATTCTTTTCTTTTCCGTGTATTTACCAACATGAATTCTTTTGACGAATAAACTTTGGCAATGAACAAGAAGAGATAGAGCAGTAACACAAAGGCAAATGAGAGAAACGAAACGAATCTGTTCGACTTAATATGTCTCTTTTGTCTCTCCGTCTATTATCCACGCTTGCTCTACGATCCCACCTCCAACTACCTTCGTCTTAACCGCTCGTTTTTTCTTGTCACCCCGTTGTGTACATTTGTGTACAGAGATGATACTAATTTTTTAACTTTGTTCTCGTACAAATGACTAAGGTCTTCGACGTTAATTTACTTTTCATATTTACTCAACATGACTAATATGTTCAGGTAATCATTAAATTATTTCCACGCTTTTGCATAACTTCTTCTTCTTCTTCTTCCTCCCTTCCTCCCTCACAACATCAATATCACTATCTTTATATCATTTGATTAAACATCTAAGAAGCTTAATTCATCGGCATATACGCGCATCTCTCGAGCCACATTCTTTGACTCAGCCAACACACACACACACACACACACGCACACGCACATACACGTGCTTCACCACAATCACATCTTCATCATAATTTTCTATGCGCAATGTGTTTCTGATCATTCATCAAGCAGTTGATATAGAATGAAGAGCAAAAAAGATTTTTTAAACTCTAATCGTTTAGTCTGACTGTTTACTCTTTAAGAGAATACAAAAAATTGTTTTATTTCTTTTCAACGGATCAACTTTTACACAAAGTTTCTGCTGCAACACAAGTATTTCGTAAGTTATCTGCGAAATGTTCAAATAGAACATTTTGATGTTTACATAATTGAGCTGACAAATCTGCTAAGGATAACGGATTTCAACACTAATGATTGGTTTTATGAACGTTTGATCTTATCGAAGAGTTATAACAACTTTGAAGAGAAACAAACGTGGATGTCAAACACAGACTCTTCTCCATTTGCTACTATTCATAGCCTCCCACTCTATGCCATCCACTCTCTATGCATCAATCTCTCTCTTTCTCTCTTTTATTCTCACTGTCTCAAAACTATTCTCCAACTCGGTATGTTTGTGCTCCAAATAAGGCTTTCTCTCTATCATGTCAGAACTTCATTGTAACATAGGCAATGTTATGAGAAACAGACTATTATTTCGTAACTTATCTCTATTACAAACTATCAGCCAAACAAAATACTTATTTGCCTTTAACCTGACATTTAAACTTTTCTTTTCATACCTTAAAAAATAATTTTCGCTCTCGTGACCATTAGGTTAAATAATCTATGGCCTAAATAACTCGCGTGGCAACTGCATTTCGGCAGTATTCACTCCCTCTCCTCAGCTCTACTGTCAATGTTTCCTTATTCAGGGGAGAAACATCGATGACACACTTCTAGAGCAAAACGTTTTTTGATTCTTACATTCAATCTATCGTTTGCAGAAATATGAACACGAACAACTAACTTGAAGTGAAGTTGGTACTGATTGAGTGATTATCGTCCTTATCGTCTTTCTGATCTATTGGAGGAACTTTCATATCTGTAAAGGAGAATACATAAATACAGAAGTTATACACAGATATCGGTGTAGTTTTCATCGATGGCAAGAACATAAAAACTAATTAACATGAACTATTGAAAAACCGGTTCGTAATCCCCCCTCCGCACTCAACTTCCACCCATATCCATATGTCTCATATTCAAAACGGTTATCAAACATAGGTACGGATTGACATTGCCCGCATAGACCTCCCACACGCACCTACACCTCTTTTCACTAATCAAATGCGTCTTCTAATCTGTTGACACTCAACGAAAAAAAGCTAGAAAAATACAGAAAATACAATAAACCAATATCCGGATAAACGACTTTTCACGTACTTTTCATAAAAACTTGTAAATAGTAAATGATAAGACATATTTCATTCTTAATGAGGAAAAAGAAAGTGAGCGGTTGTTCATTTTCAATTTTTTTTGAGACATTCTTACATTTATACGAACGCTTAATTCCAATCTTTCTTTATAAAGTACGATGAAAGTAAATATGAGGATGATCACGGGAGAAGAGAGGAAAGTTCATTTCCCTACAGTTACTCCCCCCCCCCCTTCCATTTACATATAAGGAATATATTAATTTTAATTCATTTTTGCATGAGTTTTGAGGTAAGAAATCCAGTTCGAGCATAAGAGCACATTCGCGGTTTCCGGATTTGAAAAATAGACAAAAAATTGTTTGAATCGGCCCAAAAAAAAATCAGGAAAAGGTTCTATTCTTAAAAAGGAAGTACAAATAATAATTATAGACGGACGTGTGCAGATTTCTAACCAGATACTGAGTTGCATCGTCGAGAATGTCTCTGAAGAGCTTTTGCTTCATGAAGTTCTAGGTGCAAACTAAGTACACAACATGACTATTTGACTAATCTGTATTGTATGGAGGTCACAGAAGAAGAAGAAGAAAAAGAAGGAAATATTTTTAAATAATCAAACAAAAATTATTAACAAAAGAAAGGTAGGAAAGTAAAGAACAGTCCGACTCCAACGCACAGAAGTGTCGCCGTTGCAGAAACTGTTCCGATTTTTGGACAACCATACATCGTCTAGAGCAGCAGCAGAGCAAGGAGGTAAACCTTCGAATACGCACTGTTTTCAATTCATCTCATAAGACAAGCTGTGGATGGAAAAGTGGGTAATGCGAGTCGTTAACAGACAATTGAAATACAAGAAATGAGATGCTTGTAAAAACGCTTTGCTCAAATACAGTTTTTCATAATGAGCACTCAAATGACTTCCGTCCGTAGAAGTTTGGCTGAGAAGCTGAGGCACATTCACATTCACAATACCAACAGATTCATCATAACCAATATGAAAGTTGGTAAGCTTGAAAAGTTCAAAAAAATATTTGGAAAGTGGGAAATGAAAGAAATACAAAAAGTGTAAACAAGTTACCAACAAATGCTCTGACTGCATGTGAATAGAAGGTGTGAGGAAAAGCAAAACAGAATCAACAACAAATTGAAATAAAATATACTTGTGTTGTTGATAAACTTAATAGAGAAACGCATATGAAGTTATCATGGAATTCTTTCCTGCAATGTCGATTCAACTTGGAATCAACTGAATCATTTCAACGATTGAGTCGGAATGAGTTGACGGCAATGATTCTCTAATATATCTGCGCAATTGTATTTACAAGAATGAGAGGACGGAGTTCATGCCCTGAGGGCAAAACTTGCTCTGCACCTTGCGTCAATTTTGCAGTCAAGATATGCTTCTCATGCACTCTATGAACGGGAGAGATGCAGAGTCTATGATACGGCATGCGTGAACATGACAAAGAGAGAGGAAAGGAGAAAAAAACGTCTGAAAGATCGTGAAATGGAGAAGACTCAAGACAACACAATGAGCTGAGCTAAATATTATCAGAGTTGAGGAGAATAGTGATAGGCAATATGCTTGTATCAACATGCAGACTGGAAATGAAATCAACTTCTAGAGCAGCTTCACACATTGTGATTGAAGCATATCTCAAGTAATTGACATAATTAATCAAAAGGTAAATGATATCCACGTCATTGATGACATTGACGTCATATAATCAGAAGCTCAAATGGAAAATATTAGAAGTAAATACGAGAATGAGACAGTCACCAGCGATTTACCTTAAGGAAATGAGATTCAATGAGTTTCACATTAACTTGTCAGCTTACTTGGTCAGATACTTAAGCAAATAACCGAATGTTGAACTAATTTTTTGACCAACAGATTGTAAACAAAGTGAAAAAAAGGAAATCGGCTGGCAATCGACTCATTTACCGCTCTTACTCAAATAATTATAAAGAAAAACGAAGAAAATTAAAGTTCACCACGAATTGAGAAACTTACTTTTTAAATTTGGCCGTTTTCGCGCAAATGACAATTTGTATTTTGTATCCGATGTACAGGATGAGTTGAAGGTTGGAGGTAGTAGAGTAGATGAGATGAGCAAAGAGCAACCGCCCTGTGTGACTGAACTAATTGGAAATGAACTTCAAAGTAAATTGTCACGTCGATGATTCACGCTTCGAAATTAGCATAAGCTGCTTAAACTACTTGATGTAGTGTTTGTTTAAAATTCTCTGATTCAAGTGAGCACATGAGAGTTTCATCAGAAAATCTGTTCTGTCAGAAGTTTGTTTAACTGTTTTGAGATGAGTGTGCGATCTCGCGTGAAAGCGATATAGCTTAAGGAAATAAGCTGTAAATTCGTCAATTTTTAGCAACAAAAAGTAACTTTAAGTACTAACAAGGAAGAAGAAAGACAAAATATAATTTAAGGCAAACAGTTGATGGAGATCGTCTCTCGAAAGGACTACGCAGAGGAGAAACGTTTCTTCTACAGGCCACTGTTTTCCTATTCTTTGGCTCCTTTCTCTTCCCTTCTCAGAGATTGTAAAGATGTATTGTAACTTTGAAAATCAAGTTCATATTTCTTACTTGTATTTACTAGATATGCTTCTATTCTTTTCTCACTATTGACTAAAATCAATCAGTTCACGTTTAAGCGTGAGCCTTCGCACGATTGCTCCGTTCTTTCCGAATCCGGTTAGATGGTATTGACGACAATGACGATGAAGACGTTAGAGACGTTACGTGGAGGAAGTTCCACGTAAAGGACAACATTGGGTCTTTGGATGCTCTTCAGTATCTTCTTGATTTCACTTGAGAAGAAGCATGATGACTCTTCTAAAACAACAATATATCGGCGTTCTTCCGTTGTTTAGCCCTACCATTCTGTCTACTACGAGCTGTCTGTCAGAAAAAAAGAAGACGTCTGAATACACGAAAGGATGCTTTAGGGGTAGCACGTCTGGAACGGAGTCCAGTTGGATCACATGGCACAATTTGTCGCGAATAAGCCGGAAATTTTTGATTTTCTGATTTTTACATTTCTGACGCCTCAAAGCATCACGCAAAGAACTCATGAGGTGATGAAGAATCATGACCTATGACAGTCACTATTACCGGAAAAGCCGGAAAGCTGGATGGCATGACGTCAATATCAAGCTGAATCATTTTATTTACATTTTTTTATGTGATAGATCGAACAAGAGAGAAAATTAGAAAATAATGATTCATATCATTGAGCGCTTGTTCCGATTATCTGACTCAAGTAAGCTTTCAGTAGCATTATAAAGGGTCACGCTAGAGCACCCTTTCACCCTTTTAGTAACAAAAGCAAAAATTCGATAAATCCTCGAAAAGATATAATGCTGATGAACTTTTTTCTTACCTTATACCTTGAAAAAATAAATAAGATTTTTTAAATAATATTAATGGAGAAAAAAAAATTTGTCTTAGTTGCCACCCCTAGGTTCAGCTAGAACTCGGGTTCCCGGGGGAACCGAACTTTTTACCCTTACGTAGTGCGCTAACGCGTTACCGGTAGCGCCATGAGTACTAGCCTTGCGCAATCCTTGGGCAATAAATATAATGGCGCGTACGTGGATTCTCCGTATTCCTTTATCGACTGACGATTGACGAAAATCTGCGAAGATTCAGATTTCATCTTGCTCAAAAGCCAATCTAATGTCGTTGATGTGAGTTCTTAAAATATTTCTGGTATTTTGTTGTTGATTTACGCATTTTAGCGAGGACCCAGAATTGCACAACCAGAAAAAAAAAGGACTCATCGGAATGAATTACGGATGCACTAAGATGCCGTGGAAGAATCACCACGAAGCAATATCCGAAGCAGCAACTTTCAGCCCAGAAAATATCATTCAACCGGCTGTTGAATTTGAGAAAGCATTCATGGTATGTCAATTTACTACTGATAATACAAATTAATGTAATAACATTTTGTTTAGGAAGATCTCGAAAAGGAGAGGAAAGAAGAAAGATCGCCTCCGAATAAGAAATCGTGTATTGTGACCGACCACGATGGAAGCACTTTATATGAAACTGTTGCTCATTAAGTCTTTGTAATGTGTTTAATTTATTTAATATTTAACAATTGTGCATAATAAAAGTTTTCATTTAAATCTCTGTTAGCGCAATAGCATAGCTTGTCCGTAAAAATCTGTCAATTGAACTCACCCTGTTATGGGTGGTTGGTGCGCCAGAAATTTTTTTCTAAACTCACCCAAAAATTGAAAAACACATAAAATGATGCATAAATTCGCAAAATTTAGTCATTTTTTGTTGAAAAAGATGTCTTTTTTGCTTTTTTTACTAAAAGGGTGAAAGGGTGCTCTAGCGTGACCCTTTATAATACTACTGCTTTCGAATACAGAAATGTCGGGAGTTGTCATCGAAAATCAAAATTAGCTACGGTTGTATTCTGTGTAAACAAAATGGAATTAGGCATATTTTGGATAATGAAGAAAGATAATTGGGTATTGTTAGAGAATGTATTTTTAAGGCGAACATTCCTCATGTTGTAACTATTCGTCTTCAACTCTCATCTACTAGATGTATACTCCTACCCCTTTTCACATTCAAATTCTAGAAAAGTGCTCTGAGTTTGGAGATAAGTATGCTTTGGTAAGCTGTCTAAAGAAATTTAAGTTTGAACACTAACATCCAGAAAGATCACGAAGACACCTTCACTTTTCTGGATGTTCGTAAGAAAGCTTATCAAGTGGCTGAATTATTCAGAAAACGAGGCATTAAGAAAGGTAAACAATCAGTATAAAACTCAGCCTCAAACATCAATCACTTACAGGCTCCTCTATTCTCGTGTGTTTACCGAATTGCTGCTGGTATCCAGTAGTTTTCTTAGCTTCTGCCATATTGGGAGCGACCATCTCTGGAATAAGTACACAGTCAACGAAAGGTTTGTTTACATTTGAGGGGAAATACTTATTTCCGAAAAGCAACCGTTCTGTTAGGGCTCAAAATGAAAAATAAAAACAGGCGTGAATCACGTACACGTTCTCACGTGAGGCAGAATATGTTAATTTCATAATGCCATTACAGATGAAATCAATGAATACACTGGAAAATCCGGCGCTGAAGCATTCGTTACAACGCTGGAAATAGCCCAAGCATTAGGAGATGCAGCTCCCAGAACTGATATCATTGTTATAAGCAAGAAGACATGTTGTGGTCGTCCAACTATTCCCCGGGATCTTATAGAAGTGGAAGAGCAGAACTTCAACATCTGTATTTCAATATTCAGTTTCTTTTTTCATGCATACCTTTAGGTGAGGTAAGCCTGGATGATCCTTTGATCATGCCATTTTCAAGTGGTACGACAGGAAAGCCGAAATGTGTGATCTTGACTCATCGCAACTATCTCTCTGCAACAGATAACTTGAAGAAGTTTGTGGGAAATATGTTGAAAGTGTATATAATCGAGCCTCTCTGCTTCAGGGCTATTTTTGACGAACTTCTAGACAAAAATAAGAAGAAAACCCTGGCTTTCTTGCCATTCCATCACGGAAGCGGCTTTTGGGCGTTAGTCTTCTCATTGCTTGAAGGATGCGAATCTATAATAATGCCTCAATTTCATCCCATAACAATGCTTCAATTGATCAGTACTCATCGCGTAAACATTTAGTTAATTCTTCCGAATATCTCATTTCCATATTTTGAAGATTGAGGTAATTAATGTGGTTCCTTCTATTCTTCGCTTTCTTTGCCAATTTGCTCCAAGTCAACTGAACTTGGATGTTTCTTGCTTGACAACGATATTGTGTGGATCGAGTCCGCTTGGCCCTGAGCTAAGTTCAAATGTTCTGAAAAACTTTCCGTCTGTAAAGCATTTAGTGCAAGGTTGTCTTATAAGGGGGTATCATTACTCAACTCACTCTAGGTTATGGTTTGTCGGAAATCGTAGTCTTGAGCCATATCACTCCTTTGACTTCTCCAAAAGAAAAACTGGGAAGTTGTGGAAAGCTTATACCTGGCTTTCAAGCTAAAGTGATCTACAATCATTTGAATGTCGAAAAAAGCTCAGTTTACAGATTGTTGCGGAGAACGGAGACATTGTAAAAGAACCGAAAAAGCACGGAGAACTGTTTCTAAAATCGGAATGCGTTATGAAAGGATACAAAAATGAACTTAAACTTCATCCTTTTGAAGATGGCGGTAAAACAGTAACATATGGCACTATTTGATTGTGTTTCCAGATTGGTTCCGTACCGGAGATGTGGTTTACTTCGACTCTGACCATTACTTCTACGTGGTGGATCGTCTCAAAGATTTGATAAAAGTTAACGGACTCCAAGTTTCTCCATCTGAAATAGTATGTTTCAAGCTGTGGTAATTAGTTACGACTTACAAAAATTCAGGAAGATGTAATACAGGCTCTTCCTTTTGTAGTGGAGACGTGTGTCATTGGCGTTCATCATGACTTACATGGCGAAGTACCGAAAGCGTACGTTGTCTTAACTGATAGAATAAAAGAGCAGAATAAGAACTTCGTTCTTGAAGAGATCATGAGACACGTGAAAGGTTGATGTGGCTAAGTGATTATCTAAACGAAAGTATTATTCAGAAGTTCTGGCTCCTTACAAGCAACTACGTTACATTGAAGCTATAAAACAACTGCCAAAGACAGCAAGTGGGAAAATTGCAAGAAACATGGTTAGAAAACTACATACAAAACGATTTTGATCGAATATATTTATTATATTGTACAATTTATTGATGCAGTTATTATAAATCAAGAAGATGAACATAGAAATTCAAACTTATAGCATGAATATTAAGAGCTAAAAATTATCAAAGTTATCCAAAAGACACACATTTACAGAACTTTACAGATGTAAACATTGCTATTGTACTTATTAGGTGATTCTTATCCGTCTGCCATGTCGTGAAGCTGCAGTTCAACTTCGTGATCAACATCTTGATCATCATAATCTGAAAAAAACCCAATAAGAAGATCATATAAAAACTGTTACCTTGGTAAAAATCTTCTGCAACTTCAACATCCCAACTTTGACTTTGAGGTTGTAGAATCGTTGGCACAGTTGTTTGTCCAACACCACCAGACACGAGTCGTCCTTCCAAAGACTTAAAAAAACACTGAACGGTGCTACAGGAAAATAATACCCACCTTGAGCTCCCTGAGAAGTTCTTGAGCTCTAGGAACATCTTGAGTAACTTTGAGTTGCTGTGATATATTCTTGAATTATCATAATAAGTTATTTCAATGAAAAAATTGAAATCTCACGTCAATTCTATCTTTGATACGATTCATGAGATCATCGAAATCAGCGTTCCCGGTCACACCTGGCTCTTTCAATAATGGAACTCGCTTACGGGCTAGCTGCAATGGCGCTGCTGGGGCTGTAATGCGAGATTAATACTTGGACAGCGATAACAATCTTACATGACACTGTGTGATGAGGTAAGGTTACAACTTTCTCTTCCTCTTCATAGGAGGTATCATAATAAACATCATTATTAGCTTCTAGCATGCCGTCAACTTCTCGCTGGAACCAGTAAGAGTTAAAAAAAGAATGATTAGAGTATTCTTACAACATCAACTATTTCCCCATCGGCTGTATACTCTCCATATTCAACAAGATCCATTCCATGAGGCAACTTAAAATAATTTTAACCCTGTTATGAGAATAATAACTCACAATGTCTCGCTTTATCTTGGTTGGGCCTCCTACAATTCTATGCCTCTGGCTCTGACTGAAGCCTCTTCTTCGAGTCAAATGAATACTAAAAATCGAGTCATATAGAGATAGTTTGAATGATTCATACTCAGACAAGGATCGTCCTTGCTTAAACCGCATATCTACAGACATACCAGGCATGGCAATAGCTCGTTGATCATCTTCCCTTATATAAGTCTGAAACAAAGGTTTCTTTCGAATGGCCTAACAGCACAATGCCATACTTGTTCAGTATACTGAGCAGTTTCTTGTCCTCCAGTTAAATATTGAGGTACGGCTAGAGATTCTTCCCACTCTCTTTCCTCGTCCACTGGAGCAAACATTTCCTTCACATAGGTACCTTCCTTTTGCAGCTTCAGAGTCACATTTCTGACTTCATAACGTTGAAGCCAATAACCTCTTTCATGCTCAGAATATCGATCTGAATTGAATCATGAATAATCTTGATGCAATGATATACTTACTCCTCACTATCTGCACAACATCATCTTCGGAACATCCTTTCAACAAAAGTTCAGTTATTTCCTTCTTCAACACGTCTGTCAATGGAAGACGTCGCACATCAAACGAATGTCCAAAATGACCCAAACATCCTCTAATAGCAACAGTTCTAGAAGATAAATATACTTTAGGCTACTGTTTTCATTAACTTACTTATCATCTTTGTTAAGTTTCAAACTCATGAAAGCGGTACAGTATCGTCCAAGTTTTTTAGTAGGTCTGTTTCTTTGTCGATGAACATTAGAATCTGCCTTTCTCCGTAATCTATTTGTGTGGCCACTCAAGTGACATAGAAAATATCTGACAGAAGCAATGTTTGAAAAAAAAGGTTCTTTATCATTATCTTACTTAGTAGCTTCGTGCTTCATATCTCGACCAGAAATCTTGGCAAATCGAGAGCATGTTTCCACTTCCATTCTTAATTTCCAGGACTGAAAAGATTCAAAGTAGAAAAAAAATCATACAGTGAGCGAACTTCGAACTCCTCCATGTTATTGAACTTATACTCTTCTACAGTTAAATCATCTCTGTTATGAGCTTCAGCAACATGCTGCACTAAGGTAACCATACTATCACATACGACATCACATTCAGGGTCTCCACATTCTAAGGAAGGCATTCTGAAAATATATTGATAGAAACAGATTTAAAATACGAAAATACTTTGGTTCTGAAGAACGACCATCAAGTATTCCTTCGTGCACACGTCTGTGGTGACGTGACGCTGCCGTCCTGGACCGGAAAACAGCTTCACATTTAGAGCATTTAACCTTAAAAGCGAAGATAGTTAGATTTCAGTAAAGTTTTAACTTACACTTGTGACGGAATATTGTTGATCATCTTTAGCTGCAACATAAGCATCGCATGGTATGGCTGACCACGATGGCTTCTTATGGTGCCCTAGATGAGCGAAACAACCAACTACGGATACTTTGCTAAATCATTGTTCTTGTAAATATACTATTTTGATATTTCTTACTCTTTCTTGTTATCCACAGAAGCAATAAAATAGGAAGGACATCCTATAATTTTGTTCGGAACTTGTTGAGGATGAGAAGGTCCCTTTTCGGCTTGATTTCTCCAGTCTTCACAAAACTCGCAGAACATATGAATTGTATAAGAATCTGCAGATCCTGCCGGTTCTTGCGAAGCTATGAAGGAACATCGGGAACTACGTTCCAACTCTTTCCGCCAACCCTACAGGAAAATAATGATTTGAAGAAAGTATGCTGCAAATTCTTACATCGAACTTATCAATCCTATCGAACTGAATACGCCTAACTCGATACTGTTGTTGATTATGGAATGCAACCAGATGTGCGATCAGATGATTAATATTAGGGAAAGATCCATTGCAGTGAGGGTGAGCACATAATAAAGACCCACTCAATACATCAGCTTTGGTCTATAAATACACTTATTGGTTTCGTAAAGATCATAATATAAACTGACTACTTGCTCTTTATGATAAGCTCGTTTGTGTTCAAACAGTTCAAGCTCTGACATAAGAGTCATTTCACATAGATGACAACGGCATTCGGTTTCTTCAATCAATTGTATATCATTCGTCTTCTAGCTTATGCAAACCTTCGAAGGAATCTTCATTCTTCATCTCAAGCATTACTTTTTCCTGGAAAGCAGCAGCACGAGTTTTAATTGGAGATGAAGGTTCAGGCTTCGACTGAAATCAGAAAAATGAAATGAATAAGTGATGCATTTATCTCACTCCTTCAGATAATATAGGAACACTATTGGCCGACTTTCGTCCTCTTTTCGCTGGTGGAGCTTTACGTTTACTAGGAGATTTACTTTCTGAAAATTGAGGGAGTGATTTAGAAAGGAACTCATCAGTTACTAACCATTCACACTGGTTGCTTTTTCAGTCATAGTTTCGTAACTAGTAGAAGGAACCTAAAATCAGATGATAAAGAGAATCACTTTGAACTACTCACATCATCAAGTTCAACCTCAATGAACTCTTCTTCGTTATCCGACTTATTTCCGTTCTAAACAGGCAATATGTGATGAATCAGACATATAAAATCTTTACCTCAACAGTTGCAACTGTAACTAGATGAGTGTTATCTTCCTCAGTCACGTTTATAACTGTATTAGATTCATCTTCCTCTTCCTTAGCGTGTTCATCACAAGGTCGTTTTCTTTTGCGACCACGAGGAGGCATCTAATGAATGAAATGAGCATGGTGAGCTAACAGAGAAAAGTACGAGAAGAACTGAACTTCCGATAGAGAACAAGAAAACAAGAAATAAAGAAAAAAATAAAATTTTAACAAAACCTATAACAAAAATTACCCGTATTATCAGTTCAACATGATATTTCTAACTATACTTATAACTACTCGACTAACTAAATAAATAATCTATTAAACTCTTTCTTGTTCAGGAGCTTCTGCAGGCATGGCATCAGATAAAAATGGAATGCTTCTGAGAAAGTTGGTGAACCTCTCCTTGAACGATGGTTTGCTTTGAACTGTTACAAGCAGTTCTTTAGCCAGATCAGGATCTGCATCCATAGTATTAAACACCCTGAATCGAACTTAATAATTGAAACAAGCGGTTAAAAACCTTTCACGACCCCAGAGCATAGCATAAGTCGATACAGCAGTGACAATGAATTGTAAAGGTATCAGCCGAAGCAAAAGAGGACGTGCTGCTTTGCTTCCTGAAACAAGGAAGATTAGAAAAAAGACTGAGGATACTCAAAAACCTTCTATGGATAACATAAGGAAGTCGAGCATGTTCTTGATTGGTGGGAACTTCTCATTTTTTCTTTGCATCAACTGAATAGACAATATTTATAGAGTTCAAAGCTTCTAACCCTACCACATAGTAACAAAGATATGGTGTAGCAACCATGGGCATGACTATGCCAGTGAATAGAGAAATAGCCATAGACTGAGATAGAAGACAAGAGGCGCAAGGATTACTTTCTCTATACACAGTTTTCATCACAGTCACCTGAGAAAAATATTATGATTTGGATACGACTACTCGAGTATAACCTGCTTTAAGACAAAATAAGTCACGCCTGATGTATAAACTCCAAAAATGAAAGGTGCTTTGGGACATTTCTGAACAGCTTCTAAGAAAGGAACCTTCGAGTTATACAAAATCATATCAGAGTTGATTTTTGTAGCTGGAAAGAGTTACATTACGAATCCGATCAATGATTCAAATCACCGATAAATGCTGATGTAACGCAATTTGTGAGTAAGCCGGCGTGCATTGGCCAATTCAAAGCTCTTCTTTCATTCGCATAAGGCCAAGAGTTAGTTAGCTTGCCCATCATAACTGCCTAGGCGTTATATATGAACACAATTAAGTTTACAATAGTTTACTTGATCAGCAGGAGACATTTGTGATAAGTTCGTCCATAATAAAGATCTTTCACCATTCAGACGTTCTCCGATTCTATGCAAATGAGTAAATCAGAGTATTGTTAAGGTTGAGCTTACTTGGTTTTCGATATGGGGGATTGTACATTTTTAGAAGTATCTTGTGGAGGTTCGGATCTTTTCCATATGTCTAAAAAATCTTGAGATGATCTTTCTTTCACCTCACTTCCCATATGTGCTGTAAATTCGAGATAATTTCTATTCTATTGGTCAAACGAATAGCTTAAAAGGCTTAAAAGCAAGAAATTTCAATGTTAGAACTTATTAAATGCCAATCGCGGCACGCGCGCGCGTAAACAAAGGACGCGAGCGGTCGGGCGTGTAAAAAGCGTCCACGCATTCTTCACAGGTTCTACCTCATTAGCTACAGTACTTGGATGAAGCTTATATTTCAGAATTCTGTTTGATATTTAATGATAAATATGAAGCTCATCTAGTTCCAAAACATTCTCCTGAAAAAGAAAACATCTTAGACAATAAAGAAGCTGTAGAGAAAGGAACAACCGATATGCATAGGTTGAACACTAAAAATGAAAATGTGAATTCGATGATATCGAAGAATTCGGAGCTACGTGATGAAATTAACATACGTCAAACATCACGAGATCTCTTAGGAAGTTTCGCAGCTAGGATTTGATTTTCTTGTAGACGAACGACGTTCGAGAACTAATTGAAAAGCTAACGGAAGGTTAAATCTTGTTAAACTCTCATAGTACGGAAATGGTACTTGAACAGATTCTATAAGAGACAATCCGCTTCTGCCAGTCAGATATGAATTCTTCGAAGATTAGGTGAATGGCCGTGATTCTGATACACTTTCTCATAACTCTGAAACTGAACGGTTGAATGCTCTCGGAACCTTCCATTATTTTTCTTTTTTTTCCAAATTTCTGGGGATGAACGAGTTGGAAAACATCTGGAGTGTTATCCCAATTTTTTCTGGAATTGTTGTGAAATGGAGTTGCTCATTTGCGGTAAACCTTTGAAGACTTAAGGAGAAATCCCTTTCAACCGAAAATGCCCTGGAGCTATTCATTGAATTACTAATGTATACCAAATAAGAAAGCTGCTAATGGAAGCTCGTTTGAAACAATTCAGTTAGTGCATTAGGTATATAGCTAAGCTTCTTTTTTCGAGGTTTTTTAAACAAATTTTGCATTTTGCACCTTCTCCATCGACATGTGTGATAGAGTAGCCGAGTGTTATGAATGATTTCGAAAAAGCCAAGATCCCTGGACGGGCTGAAAGTATAGAAGAGTCTTCATCTGAGTTTTTGGATCCAATTAATTGTGTTGTATTTAATAACAAGACCCAACTACTTGTCTAGTCATTGGGCTGTTCAATCCTCCAATATATCTCTCGGATCTCTCAATTTTCTCTCTACTATCTGTTTAAGCTTGCTCTGTTTACACCTCCCATTATACCCAGATCACATCCAATTCTCCTCTTGCTTATTTCTTATTCTAGTCCAGTAATAGTGGCACAGTAGCATTTCAACCGTTCAAGTCAATGTTTTCCATAAATACCTCCTCATACACTGTGTTTGATTTATGTCATCATGAAGTTTTCGTCTTAAGCATATGAACTTTGGACAATTTTTCCTCAGCTTGAACTTTACGTTGTTTTCTCATAATTGATGGAAAGATTGAACTTAGTTCTATCTGTGAGAAGTCGGGGAGGTTTGTAGGTCCATTATGAGTTATCAGAATCATTAAGACGAACTTTGAAAAAGCTGAACTTATCCTCTTTCGATCGGTATCTTTTTCATTTCTGTCAAAACTTGAGATGCTTATATGAAGTAACAGCTGTCGTTTGTGGCTTTTCTAGTTCCATCAGTATTTAACAATCGAATTTTCTTTTTTCTTACATTCTTGTTTAGGAAGAGGAAGAGATTGTCTAGGAAGTATTCTTTGTTGCAACAGTTATCATAGAACAAAACAAGTTTGAAACTATGGTGATCACGTACGAAGTCTAACAATGAGGTTACTGGGTACCATATTTGGTGAGAAGCTCTGTATAGATATAGCTATACGTTCATCTCTTTCAGTTATTATTTTACTAGTTTATGTGGAATCTAATAGATACGCTGATCAATTATATGAAGATTTGCTTTATTATTACAATAAGAATGTTCGACCAGTTAAAAATGCCAGTGAAAGTATCAAGGTCAAGTTCGGATCTTCGCTTATTCGGATCATTGATGTCGTAAGTTTTTATTTTCTTTTTCATAAACACAATTGAAATGTAAGTTTTATTGCGTACTTTTTGTACTATTTTATCAAAATTTAAATGACCCAAAAACCGTATGAAGAACTAGGAAGTTTTCTGTCCTGATAGCTGTCAGCTGACTGACGATCTCCGAACGTTGGCATCATGATATGAGAGACTCCACAGTCGGAAGGACAGTAAGATGCTGGCATTCCTGGATCTCCTGGTGGGCCGATTGGTCCCGCCTCTCCAGGTCTTCCAACTATTCCCATTGGTCCGCTTGGTCCTGAGAGTCCTGGAGCTCCTGGTGCACCCATTTCCTTAGCTCCTCTTCCGGATGGTCCTGGCTTTCCTTTCATTCCTTGTGGTCCTGGAGGTCCGAAAGGTCCAGGTACTCCAACACCAGCAATGACTGTTTCTCCTGGGATTCCTGGATTTCCAAGATCTCCAGGCAAACCATCATCTCCTGGAAGTCCTAAGTAGCCGAGTGGACCATCAACTCCTGGATTTCCGGGCAGTCCAGTCTCTCCTCTCATTCCAGGGTATCCTGACATTCCACGTTCTCCTTGTGGTCCTCTGAAAACATCCGGATGGTTTAAAATTTCCCATAATGGGATAACCTTGGTCCGGGTGGTCCTGCTGGGCAGATACTGCAAGGTAAATCATCCTCAGGTGCCAATTCAACATCATAACCATCGTCTCCGGCCTGTCCGGGGTTTCCTGGCATACCAGGAATACCATCATCTCCGGGTGATCCAGCAGGCCCAGCCATACCCTGTGGACAAGAGAGCATATTACATCCTGAAGTAAAAGTTCAGTTTTGAATAGAAGAGCAACATTCACCACTGCAGGTAGTTGTTCCATAGTAGTCCCTCTTTCTGCGAGAGAAGAAAAGAACTCCTGGCTGATCAGAAGGTTCAGTTGGAACACCACTTCTTACTATCTTTTGAAGTTGTTGCCATACCCTATCAGTATCATCCTGAAAACACACAGCTTTAAATGATAGAGAATGCGCCAACATACCTTGAAAACTGTTGCAGATTGTTCAGCTGTCAGATATTCATTCTGAGCTTTGAAAAACAGAGTCGGGATTGAAACGGCAATGAACAAGATACAAAAAATAGAGCAACACGAGGATAGCACTGCTAGCTTATAGTAAACTGAAGTATCTCCCATTCTCAGATTTTTTTTTGAATAAAATGAGAAATGGAGGAAGTACTGATACGTATGGAACGCTCGAGACTTGAAGTTTAAGCCTTCTTTAATAGTCGGTGAGGATTTCTCAATTGGGTCATTTCAGGCTTTCTCTTCACCTTTTTCAGTCCATTTTTCACCCTTGATTTTCCAGTTCATTAGTGGGTCAGACGGTGAGAAGAGAGATGAATTTCTACTAGAGAAAGTTAAGCGACAATTAAAAGAACAGCTGTTGTCTTCCAAATATGAAATTTCATTAGGTGAAGCGTTTACAATTAACTTGCTTACGTTCAGTTTTCGTGATATTCATAAGAGATTTGGGGCACGGGAGATTTGGAATCTTCTTGAAACGCCATTAAGATACCATAAATCCCAAATGAAAATTAGGTCCAATTGAATAGAGTTATCATAGCAGAATGAAAATTATTATTTTTTCAATTGCAGGATGAGGTTAACCAAGTACTCACAACCAACCTATGGTTGGAAATGCAGTGGTTCGATTATAAGCTGACTTGGGATCCAATCAAATGGGGAGGAATCCTCAAACTACACATTCCATCTGATCAGATATGGATACCTGATATCTTATTATATAATAAGTTAGTTGAAGACGGTTTCTCAGTCATATACATGATACTCCAGTGCTGATGGAGAGCCTCACATAACTATTATGAGTGATGCTCTAGTATATCACAATGGATTGGTGGTTTGGAAACCTCCGAGTATTTATAAGAGCTTCTGTCCTATCAATATTGAGGTAGATGGCATGAAGATGGCCACTTACAATTAGCTCTTTCCAGTACTTTCCTTATGACTCACAGTCTTGTACATTAAAATTTGGAGGTTGGAGTTACAATGGATTCTTGTTAGATGTTCGTCAACTACCGGTATATTCAATTTCTTGTCATCTCATATAACATCTCTGACTTTCAGACTCCAGGCTCTGAAATAGTTAATAAAATGGATAGCGAAGGCAAAGAATATCAATATCTTGAGATGGGAATGGACTTATCCGGGTTTTACCAGTAGGACTAGATAATAGTGTTCCCAAAACACAAACCATATTTGAAGGAGTTTGGAATGGGACTTAATGGCGCTGACTTCCTTACGTCATGAGCAACTCTATCCAGGATGTTGTGGACAAGAATTCTACATTGATGTAAGCTTCGTGATAGCTCTTCGGCGAAAGACACTTTTCTACACAGTCAACTTGGTTATTCCTTGTATGCTTATCGGTGAGTCCATCTTCATGGTCACTCAACGCATGCTTATGGTTTTCAGCAATTCTCACTACTTTTGTATTCTATATTCCACCCATTGAGCACAAAATGACATTCTCTATTTCAATTCTCGTTACATTGACTGTGTTCTACTTGGTTTTGATTGAGCTCATACCTCCGACTTCTCTTGTTATTCCACTGATTGGTAAGGAGATTATCTTTGGAACAAAAGGAACGATTGCTTGCAGGAAAATACCTCTTGTTCACTATGTTCTTAGTATCCGTTTCTATTCTACTTTCTGTTGTTTCTTTGAATTATTATCGACGTGATGGTTCTGCTCATCCCATGCCCAATTGGGTTTATATTGTTTTTATCCAAACACTACCTCGATATCTATGGATAAAGCCAACCGAAGAAGAAGACATCAGTGATAAAGGATCAAGCATAAGTGGTTGGTTATCATTCCAAATACCACCGTTTCAACCTTTCCATTCAGAAATTCCACAGTTCTTAGATTCCTCCAGAAGACCTTCTCCATTCTTTCTAGCTGTTCCTCCTCAAATACAAAATGGCCAAGTAAGTGATAGTTAATGAGTGAGATCTATTGGTGTGCAACCGAGTCGCATGTCGTTTAATTTAAAAATGAAATCGACTCTCCCACACATGAAGAGCTTGATGCATGCTTACTATTAATAGAATATGATCATATACCAAGAAGAAGTGATACAAATATGAAATTGAATTTGGCTTCAGATGAGATTATCGCAATTAGCTCAGTTACGAGGAATGCATCCTGATTTAATCAGAAGGATGATTGATAACATAGGCTTCATAGCTGATCATTTCCGTGCAATCAAGAAAGAGGACAAAGTAAACAATCTTTTTTTTCATAATTACATGAACTTCCTGATTTCAAGATATCATCCGATTGGTCTTATGTAGCAAATGTGATTGATCGACTTGTTTTAATTGTTTTTTTGGCTGTTAATGTCATCGGAACTATCCTTATCGTTTGGAATTCTCCAGTGTTCTTCGACGATCGAATGCCAATTACAATCGTCAGACTCTTTACAAATTTCTTCAATAATCAGTATATGATTGTAGGGTCCCGTCAGTCGACCGTTATCCGGAGATACGTTTGAATCAAAATTCAGTGACAACTTCACAATGGAAAATTGGTGGATGAACACGACTTAGCAAGAACAACTGAACAGATCTCTCTCTTTCTCATTCTTTCTCTCTCTCTCTCTACATACCTTTCCATTTGTTTGAAAAAGTTTAATAAATTTCAACGATTTATTTTTCTGTTTTTCTTTTGAACAACCCTCTTCGACTATTTTCGATGAGGAACCAGCAGTAAGTGCTCAATTAAGATTTATGTAACTCAGGTGACAAGATGGATCTGCTAAAACACAACTGCCTTTCAGTTCCTCTTAAGAGAGAAAGATATCATCGAAAATCAATTTTAACACAAATTTCATCTCTCATGCTCATCTTTTACGTTCCCTCTCGCAGTCTCTCTCCCTCTCAATTCCTCTCTATCTTCATAAAGTTTCTTTTAGTTTTTTTGCCACTTAACACTTGGGTGATGAAGTTGTTATGTCAGATAACTGTTTGGAAACATCTCTTGTCAATATCATGCAACTCTTGAGCCGGGGTAGTTCTAAGAGAAAAGTTAGAATAAACAATTTATTTTCTTTTTCTTCCTCTATTGCTACAATTGACAAGCAATTTTTTGCTTACAAACGTGACCCACACAGCTGACTGAGTATATCTTCAGATTGTATTACAACACAACAAGAACTTTATTATACTTCTGAAACAGCTTCAAGCATTATATAATGAGTGCTTGAAAGTCTTTCATCCATTCACATGTTGTGCACCAACGCTTATATTATGAAAATTTTGAACAATATCATGTTTTTAAAGCTTCACTGTTTAATTGAATATTCTCTGCCCAATTACTGAAAGCTTTATGTTGTTTTCAGAAGAACTTAATTGAGTCACCCTTGTCCAGCTTTCATGACGAGCTCCTTCATAATCATTCATCATTTGACTAAAGTTCACACGTCTATCGCAAATCTATTATTTTTTTGTAAAATCTCATATAATTAAGATTTTCTCTTCATCATTTCCTATTGACATCCGTTAACTTCTTGTAATATTTGCTCTGTTCGTCTATCCATCGATGACTTATTCAACTCTGCGAATGCTGTCAATTCTCTTCTTCTTCTTCTTCTTATCCTTCCACCTCAAATCCACCTTTTCATTTCAGATCTACCACTTGTATTTATTTGTTGAGAAAAAAAGACTCACATAATGGTTGATAATCACAAGACGGTAAGTATAACTAACTTTATATCTAATCTATGACTGATGTATCATTTTGAGACGTACGCCAAAGATCAAGAAGAAAAGCACAAAAGGAAAATTATACTACCGTGTGTAATACCATGGGAGTATGGTTCGAACAAGTATGCAAGTCAAAAAGGACAAGCAGCCTTTGGAACAATCAGAAACCTAAGTTAGATCTCATCTCATACTCATTTTCTCTCTCACGGAAGAGCTTATCCAATGGAAATTTATGAATTTCTTAAAAATCATGACAAACTCTTCAGATTCACAGGAACCGTTCATGTTATCGATTTTTTGCACTGGTAAAAGAAGTGTGAAAAGATGTAGTTTCACTAGAATATTACATACTATTTGCTTTTTGATAGTCTTATGTGCATAATAATGAAAGCTTAATTAATCCTACTGATGCTTTGCTGTTGATGCTCAATGCTCATTCTTTCATCTCGTATATTCTAACTTTTCAGAGTTAAACGTTCAATCCTCCAAACCTTTATCTGAAAGTAATGACGGCGTTGTTCCACAAGTTCGTTTCTATAGTTTTCAAATTAATAATTGAAATCGAGAGAAGAACAACCGGTTTATGCGTCCGTCACACACAAAAATGATATTTACGAGGAATTTCGTTTGGCGTTTTTCACGTAAATTGAATTAATTAGAGCGACAAACAGCAAGAAAAAAAAAGATTTTTCTTTTAATTACAACAGCTATTAGACAAGCTCAAACTTTTTCTCTCATTTGTTACTAATTTGATACTATTGTAGATAACATGTCCGCCACTTCATCACAAATTTGCCAACCAATCAGGACAATCGTTTGGCAATTTTCGTGAACAAGTCACGAAAGTAATCGACAAAGTAATGCCGTTTAATTGTTTATACATGAAAAACCAACTTATTTCAGGATGGAATTGAAAAAGTAGCCATTTGCAAAATTGTCGATGACAAAATGACTGAGACGATGCTTAAGAAATGGGATAAGCCCAACAAGAACGCCAACAATTCCGATATTGGTATGGGCTGTTCGGTAACATTTCACTCAAAGAGCATTTAGGAAAGAGACGGAAAGAAGTCGTCGAAACTCAGGGAGGTAGAAGATTCACGGCAGATGAGTTGAATAAATGCCGTGCTGCCATTCCGCGATTCCAAGACCCCCGCATGACTGTCGCGGCAATGAATTCGAAAACGGGAGACGTTCGTTATCATCATTAGAACTTTGATGTTGTTTGTTCTTTTAGAACTTCCAGGGTGGATTACATCGTCATAGACAGGCAACGACAGTTGTTGAAGGATTGAATCGCACAGAGTTCGATCAGATGGACTCGAATCGGTATATGGCATGGTTGGGAGGACAGGTTACTGAACTATCAACAATTCGGGTAGTAAACACTCTCGATCTTTCAGTTGACGTTGCAATCTCAATCACACACAGGAGGGTTCGCAAAACCTCGTGATGTAGTATCTACATCCTATTACGATCGTCTAATGAGTGACCGTCAAGTTGATGTCGAGGTTCGTGAGCTGACACCTTCTTGGAAACTATCCTGTGTTTCAGTCCATTCGTAAACGTCTCGAAGAAGAGAAAGCTAAACAGGACAAAGAAGAGGGAGATGATGAAAATAAAGAGCAGGAACCTGTACAAGAGCCTGATCCATATTCATATTCCAACTGAAGCCTTATTCCATGTTGTGCATTGCCGTTTCACTTCGTAGCTTCTAATCTCAAATCTTTCACTTTGATAAATAGTTTATTTGCATATTAATATGAAAATAGATACTATAGTATAGATTAAATCATGCATTTGACAAGAGAATTTATGCTATACGTCTAATGCACACATGTTGGAAAGCTAAAGCCGTAATAGAACTAGAGACACGAGAGACAAAAGATTCAAAGGTGTCTACCTGAACAACTGGTATGAACAAAGAATGAATCACGTTTTAAAAAATCACAAAAAATACTGGCGTCAGTATCACGTTGAAAGAATGACTGCATGTTCCTAAACCTGCAAGTTATTTCAAGGCTGTTCACTATCCAAAAGATATGACAAAAACAGAATAAAACAAAATTCTGAACTATAATATGAAAATAAATATGCAGACTGCAAGAAAAGATCTCTTTTTTGAAAGCATAATTTCCCTGCTAATACAGATAAGATAAGAATTTGGAAAGTGAATTGGGATAAACAATATGTATACATATCTGTAGCTATAAGAGTTTAAATATGATCACAAGTTAGTACAATCTAAAGACTAATTTAGAAATCTAAAAAGAAACGTAGAAAAAAATAAATTTTTTGGTTAGTACCGTAAAAGTTTTTTTTTAAGAATTAGCGACGTTGCTCGTTGAGCTCTGGAAAAAAGTTGTCGTAAAATGGCCGTTTTCTCAAATTTTACCTCATCTTCACCAAGTTTTGCTAATCTACAAATTGCATTGTATGCTCCGTTCTCTGCTGCTCCTTCATCGGTCAGACCACTGCCATGACATACTACTGGCTTATCCAAGCCCAGAGTAACTAAGGCAAAATAATATTGTTCACATCCATCAGGAGACTGAAAGAAGAACATCAATCTACTGCGAGAGAGAGCTAGTTTTACCTTCGGGAAGTTAGTGTACTGAACAGAGAACTTAAACTTGTCCGCGAAAAAGTCTAACTTTTCGCGGGAAATATGGATCGAATCTTTTCCGGCAGTAGCTGAAAACAAACCACATTGAGCTAAGACAAGGAAGAAGAGACGTACCTTCGGTAGACATGGGAAACGCGTTTGGATAAGTTGCGCAATACTCAGAGAGGAAAGAAGTTGCCAGCTCCGTGAGTTCGGCCTTTTCGACATCATTTAAACACCTAAAACATGATCTTTGTTGCATCATTAAAACAACAAAACTAACCGTTTCCCATCTTTGCTCTTTCGCATTCGCTTAAGCCGGCCTTCAACAACAACATCAACCTTTAGAGGAGCAACTTCAGGCTGCGGATAATTGGCATCGTCTATAAAGACCAAAAATAAGCATTCAATTATTACACAGTAAATAACCTGGGGGAGGGCAGGCTTTAACCTGATTGCTGAAAGTTACACGCCTCTGGAGACATCTCGATGTATTTGTCATTGATGGAGAAACATGACCACTACTAGGCTCAGATTGTGTTGGTGTTTCTTCTTCTGTTACTGGTGACCTAAACCCATAGAAAGTTAGGACCCTCATTACTGCTACAAACCTCGACTCTTCCATTTGAATGACCTCTTCTTCGATAGCTTTCACTTGATCTTCTGGGCAGCTTTGAGGTTCATTGACTTCATTCGGATCAAAAATACCTAAACACTCTGCTACAGATACAGAATAATCATGTTTCCATACCTATGGGGCTCAATCTTAATTTCTTTTTCAACAAGCCTTTTCCTGGAGCAGGTAAAGGTTTCACAAATCCTAATTTAGCCAACATCTCTTCAGCTGCTGCCCGCTTAGCCAAGCGTTTGTTTGGTCCTGTGCCTGTGCAGAACGTATCCATACAACGAGCCTGAAAAGGTATTTCGTTTTAAATTTTAAATTTCCCCATAAAAAACCTCAACGATGAATTCTTTATATCGGCTCTGTCCGTGTTCCCCAACAACTGTATAAACAGGATCAGGTTCACTACGCGCATGCAAAATCTTCAAAAATCAATATACACTGCCACAATGTGAGCTTTACCTGTCCTAGTCTCGTTACAGGATTAATCTGATGACCATAGGATGGGTCCATCTTCATATCCTGAAGGAAGCAATAAACGATTTCAAAAGGAAACAGACAAACCTTAACGATTGTTTTTCTCTTACTCTCTTTGGAAACGGGCTTGGTTCTTTTCTGAGCTTTAAACAAACAAGATGCCATATAGATGGGAGAATTTTCTGAAAATGGCGAGTTTTATTATAATTTTTGGCGATGATATCATGCCAAGCTCTCTCAGTTTGTCCAGAACACCCAAACATGCTTGTTGAGTCGCAATTTTCTTTTTTCGTCCTTCTCCCAAATTTTCAACAATAACCTGAAAAATGCGATAAACAATGCTGCATCAAAAATATTTCAACCTGCTCAGATACGTTTCGTAATGCACAGCGAACAACATAATTCCTTTCGTGAGGTGGACCATCCTCAGTAATAACCTAACAAGAGCACATTTTCTAAAGTTTATTAAGCTGAATCACCTCAATTTCAACATCAAGCTTCATTTGATGAGCACATTCATGCACTGTGCTTACAACAGACTTTTGCTTGTTCTTGCCAATAGGCTCCTCCGAATCACTAGGAGGGGAAGAAGGCTTCAAAAAACACATATATCACGTAGAATTGAATACGAACAAACCTCTTCCACAGTCATTTTGGCAATGGTTTTGTTGAGGTCTTCAATAGCAAAAGGCTCATTTGATGATTGTTGTTCACCTTTAAGCTTAGAGTCTAGTTTAACGATTGCCGGACCCAAATAACAAAGAGCCTTAAAAGGTTTGTAACAGAATATTCCATTTTTTATCTTACTTGAGCGGCAGCATTTGATTTAGCTTGATAATAATTTTGACCAGCGCCGGTGAATACTTGTCCCGGACCAATACTTACACTTATAAGGCATACACGTTCTTGAGAATCAAAGGGATAGACAGGCACACAGGAAGGCACATTAGAAGAAATTAAACCTGGAATGTTCATTTCAATATCGATTGGAGATTGGATTTACCTGGTTGAATACGAGTAGAAGGGGGAGGGTGGCTCATTATGGGTGGGGGAGGATGAGAAGTGGGTATACAAGGAACCATTCCCCTTTGTCCGAATCCTGTTGCAGGCATGTCAGAGTAGGGGCTAAAAAAATGTTGAACTGAACTAAGTTGAACTATTCGAACCTAGGGTAGAAGGGGGGTTTTGGCATCGATTTGGAAACGAACGGTCCTTGAATTCTTGTCCGAGGAGGTTTTGGTTGCATGTGAGGTCTATAGATAGGATCTGGCAAATCCAGTTTTCGAGCAAAAAAGGAAAGTAACTCAGGAGGAGTAGCTTCTGAAAACAAGTATCATACTTTCCATGATGTAATAATTCACCTTTTTTCCGTCTGAAAGTTTTTTCGGGAGGGAAGGAGAGAGTAGTCTCTTTTATTGCTACGGCTGCCGCAGCTTGTTGAGCTTTTTTTATGGAAGCACCACTGCCTTCGAAGCACTAAGAGATAATAACAAGAAATGATGAAACATGATGACAACGTACCTGATTTTCAGTTAAAACTAACCGTACAGTGAATAGTTTCTTATGAGCTGGTCCGCTTTCATCTAACAAAGCATACTCGTGCTTCAGCTATAATGACTTCTGTTTTGAAACCCATTTGAAAGAACAGCGAACCTTGTGATATCGGGCAAGTTCGGCTATTCTCCACATGGGACTTTTCTCCTTATTATTTATACTACTATATGAATATATGTTCTTATTGTTAGCATTATCTGTCGCTAAGTGTTGTCCGCACCATGGTTGGGGATGCTGAGCATTCTAAAACCCGCATTATATGAAATTCAGCTCATCTAAGCTGCTCACCTTTGGTGCTTCAGTAGATGCCTTGTTCTCATTAGTGTTAGCATGTGAAGTTTCAGACAACGCATCCATTTGCTCTCTATACGTATCAAAATGAACCATTCCAAATATAACTTTGATTTCTTTAGCTGAACAGTTTCAAAAGTTGGAGCATTCCCTGAAACGTAACATATAACCCATTTAACAGCAGCAAAAAGTTCTTTAAACCAATCAATAGCAGAAAAAAAAAGAAATGTCATTTCGCAATCACAAGGCTCAAAAAATATGAACAAAACAAAGAAAAAGGAAATCATTTGGTTTTATCGGACACAGCGAGAGGATAACGCATTACGTTTCACGTGAGCTTCACGTGAAATTCAAATTTCATTTCGCAAAATAAAAAGTTGCGAATCGGTCGGTCGGCTCCGCTGCTTCCAATCAAATCAATCAAACCGAAAAAGCAGGTATCTTTTTTTTTTTTTAGTTTTAGTTTGCGCGCTATCATCTGAATATAAGCATAATTCTAGTATAATTTAGCCGTTGTAAAAACCAATAACATAGGTGTTGGTAACAACCGAAGACTGTTTCAATCTATTATTGAAAACATTTTGTAAAAATACATTATAGAAACAATGTTTTCAATTCTATGGAATAACAGCAAGGTCAAAGGCACCATGTAGATCGGTGTAGAGTAAAGTTCTACTCGTTTGAAATACCAAGAAACGTTCAAAAAACAGTAGCAGTGTCAGATTTCATTAACTTTGTCACTGTCGATATATGGACACAGTTGATGACTAAATTTGAACGAACGTTTTTTCAAATGCGTTATCATGGAAAAACAACACTTGAGCACTTGTAGTAAATAGTCGCAGGGTATTACAGCCGTCGAAAGTGTTTTCGATTGCGTACCCAGCACATTTTTGTGCAGACGCATAAAAAGTTGTTTACTATGCGAATGCTGTCGTCGTCTTTATTTCGAAAATTTTAAAAGTATCAGTGTCATTTCTTTATATTTTATATTTAATTCAGTTTCAAGAATAGCTCACAGTAAAATTTTATTTAAATTTACATTATAAATTTGAATAAATGTAGTAAGAAAATCACATGATTCGAGGGGGTTGGGTCTGACTCTCAAAGTGTTTTTACTCTCATCTTTAACACGGAATTTCCGTTGCAATTTGGCATATACAATTTTTTATTATTTGTCATTCTCTATACCTTGTGTCTTCATCAATATGGAACGAATACATGTTCCTAATAATCTTAATTTCTGCTCATTGTAAGCTTCATAAATTTTATCAGAGTTTTACCGCATTTATCTATTTTGTTGTTGCAGCCATTTTCTCCACATACTGCTTTCTATCATCCAACTCTCAACAGAAAAGCCTTTATCATTATTGTCTTAGTGGCGTCAATGACGTTCGCATTTCCTTCTACTCATGAATACCTAAGCCATTCCTAGTAAATCTCATTCGATGGAGCGGTTCAAATGCTATGCTTCGTGTATATCATTGTGAAGCTTTGTTATACTAACCTTGATCTTTTCCTATCTGTTTTCATATCAATAGAATGTTGCTGTTTTGTTTGTTGAAAGTTCGTCGAAGTTCATATTTTATTTCTATAGAATTTCATATATATTTGTGTGTATCATAGCATAGATTAGTAGCATTTAGCATCCCGTCCACAAAGAAGGCGGAGCTAATATCGATCGCGTACTTCTGTCAATGTCCTTTCTCTCATCATATAGAAAGCTGAATCATTTATGTATACATATTGAAATCGCTTATGATGATCGAAGATGTTCCCGAACGGTTAAACGCCTTATTTTGCGTCATCTAATTTGTTAATTTGATAAAAAAACTTATTAGCCGAGGTATCGCACAGTGTTCTGCTTCGAACTCCGGACGAACAAGTTTGTAGCTATATAGGGGGAAAACAGCGTTGCATTACCCTTCCCCATGCTATCCTTCATATTTTTACCAGAAATTCGATATTCTCTACATCCTCTTGTTTTAGTAGCAATTTGTTTCTCTCTTTTAGGACTGTGTTTCTGCTTAAGTTTCTGTACTCTTGTTCGCCATGATCTTGACGAATGTATTCTTCCGCTCAATTGATTGCTTTGGGGCTTGTTGCTGGTTGTTGGAACCATACCTAACTTAGCTTAAGACACTAATCCAAATGTTTATTATTAGCTATTATTACTGATTGTGCTTGACATGTGACATGCATTATTTGTGCAGCAACAGTGGAAAAGTTGTCTGATTGCTACGCTATTGCCTGATGCACGAGTGCTGAGAAAGAAAAGAGAATGAGAGGAGCGAGTGCGATAACGGTACACACAGTTAATGATCAGCCACACCCTATGTTTCAAAATTAATTTTTCATTATTTTCATGTAATCCTCATCGATACATTTTCCATGAATCGTAGTGGGTTGGAAGATGAATTTCTTATGAAGTTGCTTATCCGTTCAACAGATGATGTCTGGAAGCTTTACAAAAGCGAGCGAATTCATTGTTTTCCTTTTACATTCTCCTGCTCTTTCGCTTTTCTTGGGGATGGGACTTTGAATGTTTTCGTCTGATGATACTAGAAGACATATGTTTCTTTTAAACAAAGTTTGTTTTCTTTTTCAGTTATGAAACATCAATTGCCATTTCCTTTCACTTTTTTCGCCGTTAATTGACTGAATTTTAATCAAGGAAGACCTTTTTAAAAAGAAATTTCTGTTTACTTGGCGCTATCAGGAACACATGATCTTTGGCAACATTATTATATATATATATATATATATATATATATATATCTTCCTCTCTCCCCTTTTCTCTCTGTGCGTGTGTTGATAAGCATTTTTCTCTGTTTACCGTTTTGTTTTGTATGCCGTTTCACGGACTCGCCTTCGTCGACTTTTTTCTCTGATTCTTTTATCGGCTTTTCAATTTATTTTGCAGAGCTGTGCGGATGAGTGTATAAAACTTGGCTCCATCATGACAACGGCTCCGCCATTAGAAGAAGACAAAGGAGTCCTGAAATCTGGAGTTGTAACTGCCGCTTTCGCTCCCGTGGTTAGTATCGCAGACTATTTCCGTTTCAATTTCCCTTTTTCAGAAGTCAAAGAAAAACTTTTATGCGGTGTTGAGTGAACGAGCGCTGGAGCTTCATGATAGCGAAAAGTATTACAGGAAGCGGAAGCCGCCGCGACATCTCGTGGATCTTTCGGTGGCCTTTAATGTTCATAATGATCATGTATGTTTTAAAATATAATCTAAATGCTATTTAATTTTGCAACATTTGACGGTAAATAGTGATGTTTATTTTGTTCCGTTTTTTCATTAAGAAATGCCGTCATGTGTTGTTACATTGAAAAGTATGTGTGGGGGCAGTAGGCAGTTTAGCGAGAAGATATCTCTCCCTCCCAATTTCTCTTTCCCTCTCTCTTTCTTCTTTTCTCTCTATACACCCTTTCCCCCTATCCTCTCTTTGAAGCTTGTCACATCTTTTATCTCACCTTGTGCATGACTATCAAAACTTTTCAAACAAAACGAATGACAAATCGAGGACATTCAAATCATTGTTGTTTAGGATATAAGTTTTTTTTCCATAAAATCACTGATTACAAAGGATGTTTAATATCATTCTTTATGGAATGGATTATCTTGTTTACCATTTATCTTTTGATTGAATGTGAGCGGATGAAGAGCTTCGAGAGCTTATTTGCTACGTATATACCTGCATGGATTAGAAAGTTAAATTCCCCCCGAATTCATCTCCAAGATTTATCCAAAGGGATTAATTTGATAGAAAAGCAACATAACATATCAATATAAATTTATTTTTTCCATATATAGTTGGATGCTAAACTCAAAAAATGTGTCTGTTTGATGGGCCCCGACGACACTTTATGCATCCGAGCAGAGAATGAGGCTATGAACCTGGAATGGTATGAATCAATTCTTCGAGCTGTTATTCCGTCACGAGCTTTTAAGCTCTGCCGTCCGGTCCAAGTCGGTGAATTTTTCGGTAACTAACTATTCTTCTATTCCTTCATAATTCTTCTATTCCAGAAAATGCTTGGGATGTCGAGATTGTTCTGTACCCTAAGCTTCGACGAATTCTTAATACTGACGACGTTTTACCTAGCATGTGTGATAGGCAACCTGATTTGAAGCCAGGAAAGCGAAGGTATCCAAATTCTGTTCCGACCATAACATCTATACATGTATCTCAGATTGTGTTTCTATCCACATACGATTGTTTTATGTAAAAAGAGAATTGAACCTGCTACAATTGGAATTCCTCCATCTGGTATTCCTCCCTTCCCGACTGAATCTTTTATTGAATTACCGGTACTTTAGTTGGCATGAGAATTTCCATAACCTTTACCCTTTCAGAGAATGTTCATTGCTTTTTTCGGAAGTCAAGAGAAGTATTTCTTAATAAGAATGGGAAGAGGTTCACCTACTGGTGCTTGTGAACTATGGGCTCAATGTGAATCAGAGGAGGTGAGGGTCCTATGACCGACAAGTTCTTTATATTTCTTTTTTAGGTTGCAAACGATATGCATTCTAAACTAAATTATATTATTGAAAGGGAAACCGAAAAAAAGAAGAAAATGAACGGAGGGTATGTAGTTGTTTCAAGCTTCAGCGGTTTACGGAGCTTTTCAGGGATAATCTCCCGACATTAAGATCTCATCATCGTGAACGTTCACATACTCAGCCTCTTCATATGAGATGTAACTCAACTGGACTGTAAGTTTCTTTCTAATTCGCTTACCTTAACTTATCCTACACTCTGTGCTGCCTCTTTGATTTCTCTCCGTTAACATCAGCGTTTTAATTGTTTTTAACCTTTTAATTGGGATTTTATTAGTGAAAGTACTGAAGAGGAAGTTTCTTCTATAATTGTGCCTGCACCTGCTTATGTCTCAGCCAGAGATCGTCGGGCTATGTTACGAGACTGCAAAGCTTTGATAGACTCTTTCGAAGAGGAAAGTAACAGAAGTCCTGTCCAATGTGCTAGACTAACATCCATACGTCCTCGTGGCTCTCTGGGAAATCCATCTGCTACTCAGATGGAGCTTCTCGGGAGGTGTGTGCTAAGTTTTTTTTTAACTTTATTCGCTTTTTTGGTTTTTTTCCTCTTGGTTAAGTTTTGCTTAAACCCTTTTTTTGCTTAGCAGGATTGATCGTCCTCGTGGATCGGTTCATTCGCTTGGAGCCCCGTCCGTTTTATCCGAAAGGTCTCAATAGCTTGTAGGCTGAGCCTCTTCTACCTGCTTTTAGATGCCTTTAATGCATGAGCTTTTTGCTTCTGGTCCTTTCTCTCATTTCATTCTTTGCTTCTCCCTATCGTTTTTCTACTTGTTGTTTTTGTGATTAGTTTGCAAATGGTAGTTGTATCATGACCCTGATCCACATATTAACTTCAGGCGCAAATGTTCTCCAGTCGAATCTACCAGTACAATAGGACGTAAAATATCTCATCAGGGGTGAGCTTGACAATCAACTTTCCGTTCATCAAATCATTTTTTTAGAATGAATCCAAGTGGTTCGTTCTCTGCTCGTTGCTCAACGATATCTACAGGTTCATCAGAAGCTAGGAGTAGTGGTTATAGTCCTGCTTGGAATATTTTCCCCCCAACGTAAGTATACATAACGAAAGTAGGACGTAATTTATTACTTACAGTGGTCGAAGATCATCCAACACTTCGAGTATTAAGGAAGAAAGTACGTATCAAGAAATGGCCCCATTAAGTACTACATCAACGGAAGAAACAGAAGACAGGTTCGATTTCGAGTCTCTGAGAACTTTCTAATTGCGTCGTTTTATAGTGGAGGAACGTTGAGATGTGAGAATGGGAGCACAAGGGAGGAACAAGAATCCACCAGGAGCTCTCAACATTCTCTGATAATCGCAGAAGCCACTATAGAACATCGGATGAAGGTTTGTGACATTAGTATAGTATAGAATAGCTTCATATAAATCTACAGGATGTATCCTCTTCCGATAATGATGAAAGAAGTTCTGTTGGGGGTGTCAGTCGGTTGAGCGCTGAAACCCAAGAGGACTATACACCTATGGATATTGCCGATTGGCACTTCGGAAGTAATAGCCATCTTATAGTCCCTCCGCAGTGTTTGTTTTTATTCTCTTACACTTTATCATTCATATTTTCAGATGATCGAGAAAGGTATAACTTAGAAGAAGTTCGTTCGTACATTTCTGATTCCACCGATAGCTGCTATTCATCTATGGCCGCTAACAGTAGTTCTCATGGTCAAACATCACAATCAAATCCTCCTAGGTATTTTTATATTCCAAATTCAAAACTTTTGAGCTATTTTGAGAGCTTATTCATTTGGTGGACGAGGAAATTTGAAGCCTGCTAATCTGTCTGTGGCAATTCCAGCGGATTCCTCGATTCCTGATTGCAATGAAGCTTCAACGAGTCTGGTTCCACCATATGATGATCCGCGGAAAAGAGCTTTTTCATTGGGTAGTAAAAGCTTTTTCCCGTAAGTCATTGTCGGCCCACACTAATCTCGGCTCATATATTACAGAAGACCCTTCAAAAAGACGTCACACACCAACAGGGCGCAGAGATTATCACAAACATCTGCGGGATCCTCAGGAGCTTCCTGTTTTGGTCCATCATCATCTAGCACGAATCACTTAGTTAATGCTGTGGATAAAGAAGGAGAATATTCGAGAAACAGGCAATAAATGAGATAATCTTCCATTTTTCATGAATACATTTAAGGTCGGAAAGCTTTGGATCGGGTCGGTCGACTCCTTATACACGGCGAGTCATTCATTCTAATGACCAACATGTTGAAATGGATTTCGGTGGCATAGGAAGGTCTGGAAGTGGTTCTGTGGCAAGCATCGATAGTCCTACGAGGTAATAGCCTAATCGCATTCTAGTCCGGAAAGGGTATTGGAAGCCCTGTTTAGTTATTCATATATCTCCCCTTTCAATCCTCCCACTCTGAACTTAAAGACGATTTTGCAGGTCGCGAACGTCATCTTTATGCTCAGGAAGGAAAGAAGATTATTTCCATAACACTGAAGTGTTAGAGGGGGAAGACGTGGCTAAACCTCGTCGAACAATTCTACAGCCAGTGGATAGTAAGAGTCACGAGGATAGAAGGATGCAGAGAATGGAAGTAGCAGATGCCGGAGATTACGTATTAACGGAATGTATATCATCACAATACCAAGCCAGCACTTCCCACCCCGCAGGTACGATAAGAGTGGATGGAAATTGAAAAATATTTTCTTGTAATAGCAATTATAGAGTAAATGTATAGTTGTGTTGAGCATGCTATTCATAGCCACCATCCATTGGCTGTGATAGAGAATACTATGGATCTAACTATAATGGACGATTTGAGTTTTGTGGACGTTTCGATGACGAGGAAAATGAGATCAAATGTTTTTAAAAAGAAAGTTTTGTACGAAGTCTCTTCACTATGTAAATGACGGTTATGATAACTATATCAGATAGTTAATGACAACTCCTGCATTCATGTATTCCCATATCTGCACTTCATCAGGATTGTTTTGTAAAATTCCTTTTTAGCTTGACAACCCCCAAAAGATCTACGTCAAAGGCACTCCTTATACGTGCCATAAAGCTGATAAAGCATTACTCAGTGATAAAAAGTGAAATTTATTTATTTGTTGTTGTTCTGTTTCCAATTGCACCAATTTTATGTTCTCTTCTCTCTTCCCTCTCTCTCTCTTTCTTTCTTTCTCTTCAGGCTCGTTTTTTTTAAGACTAGGTCATCTCAGAGTCACATAGCTTCTTCATATATATATATATATATATACATATATATCCCTATTAAGGTATTATAAAAATTTATTTAATAAATGACTATTCATGTCCTTCTCTTTCCCGTTGATTCTTATAAACCTGAATATCTTCGTTACTGTGATGTATGATTTTAGTTCTGCTCAGATTTAGTTCAAAAATCCGCCAAGCTAATGGCTACTCATTCTCTCACATTCTCTCGCACCTCTTCTTCTCTCTCAGATTTTTCCTTTGTGGAATATGAAATCTCTAATGCCATTGTATATTTTTCTTTTAATTAAATTCTTAATGTACATATGTTTGTTTGCAACTTAGGTGTGAATGAATTGAAAGTGTGGGAAAGGCAGATGAGACCACCCTGGAGATTTCCTGTGTCTAACCCACTCAATCGATTCCGATCATTTTGCCTCGTCCAATAAAGCAAACATTTCCGAGAAGTTTTGTTCTGTTCCGGAATATCATTAGGAAGAGTAGGCGATGACGATGGGAATGACGAACATATGGAATGAAACCTTTAAAAACGTCATCGATAAAAGAGATTACTTAGTAATTGTACTTCATTGGAAAAAACAGATTCTCAAGTTAAAAGCTCCCATTTGCAATCTGATCGACCTTTTCCAGGGCATGCTGATCTTCGTCCATTCACATCTCCCACCCAAATTCTCTAAATTTGATGTTTCATTTTTCTTGAATGTTGAGATGACTCACGCGAAACCTGGCTCACGTCAGAAGGATGCTCGTTCATTTGTGCTGAATAATGGAACGCAATTCGAATCTGGAATTTTATTTTCAACAGCAAGGACAGTTTGTCATATAGGCTATACTGAACTTTCAATAAGATCGTTGCAACCTAACTAATTGTGTTTTTTGTCATTTTCGTATTGGAATTTGCTATGTAGACGTCCAAGTTATTAATCATTTGTCAAATATTTCACTAACTCTGTCCGTGGAGCTCTATAATTTATGAATGTGCTTATAAGAGTGGGGGAATACTCCTAGAAGGCATTCATGAATGTAAATGAAATTTACAAAACTACGGGCTTCTATGAGAAACTCAGGTGGCTCCTCCGCACTGATGAGTGGGATATGAAATGTTAGTTCATTCATTGGATTGGATGAACGACCGCTCAATATCACAAAACTGGAAAATGATTTCTAGTTCATCTGAGTCGTTGAGTTGACGTGTAAACTCACGTGAGTTCTCAAGTGTAACTCATATCTATGATTCTTTGTTTATTTTGTGATTCCAGTGAAGAATGATGTTTTTCTCTCTTATATTCCCTCTCAAAGTATTAAAAATGGAAAACAACAGACTTATTGAGAGTAATTAGGATGCGAACTGTTACTGAGCTGTTGTTTAATGATTTTCCTTTTTATTATGCCGTCATTGTGTGTTGAAGTTTTTGGATTTGATAGTCTGCCGACTGAAATCCAAAAAATCTCAAATACAATCATCTGTTTTCTCATTTAGTTTGCCGTACATGCTCGTTGATTGAATTATTGATTTGCCGTCCGATAGCAGCAGAATGTAAACTTTGAGATGTTAAGAGGATGTTTTGAAACGCTTAGATACATTAAAGAAGTTATACCGGAAGTTATGAATTCGCAAGTTGCAGCGAGCGGACATCAAGAAAACATTTGATCAGTCCAAAGTTAGAAAGCATCAAAAAGAAAACGAGATGAAGAAGATGAATAAGATGAGAAATGAATGTATGAAGGCTATTACCATATCCATCTCTACCATACTAGCCGGTAGAAGAGTTACGAGCTGTATGTGTCAAGTGATACGTGGATTGATTTATATAATTATAATTTATATAATTGTAATGATTCTTTCATTTTTGAACTAAGCTCGTTTATAACAGATTGGTTTACCTTTGAAAGGACATTGAGATTTTTGTTGTTTTTGTCATCTCTCTCGCACCCCCACCTCAAACGGCATCCATTCAGGTCTTTTCACGTTTTTTGTGTGTGTGTGAAATAGCGGCCAGAGAGAGGATTTCATATGATTGATCCTCATTTCTCGCTGTCATTACATTACCTTCTCTGTACAATTTAATTATTTTGCTTTTCGATCATAACTGGAAGTCTATTTTATCGTTTTTTTCATGACTTAACAATCGAATATGTATAGTAAGCAGTTACTTCTCTTTATCTGTCTACTATATAGCATACAATTATCTATACGAGGTATTCCGTTACAAATCATTTCATATATCGTTATGGTTATGATTAACTTACTCATATTCAGCATTTCCTCTCGAATCATCTGTTGGTGAGATAGTTGTTGGTGGGGGACAAGTTACTACAACAGCCTTGCCTTCTCAACCCATCGCTCAAATAAGATATACAGATCTTACTGACGATCAAATTGATCAAATATCATATGTAATTTGAGTCCTTAATGCTCTTTAGATGTGTCTGATTTGTCTAGATATTGGAAACATTACTATACAGCTGGAGAGATAAACAGGATGCATTGGATCGATTAACTGAATTAGCCAATGTTAATGTTAAGGATGAAGAAAAAAAGGTTTTCATCCCCCACCATCATTTCTGTCGTTCAAATAAAAATATTTTTAAATTTTCAGCAAAAAGTTACAGAATTGATCAATCGATTAGTGAACTTTGTTGTTTGGCTCAATGCACGCATGCAATATCCGGACATAACAGTCAAGGTAGTTTGATGCCTTATGATGTTATTCGTATGCAATAGATTTGCAGATGAGACAGTTCTACGAAACGCTGGTTGCTTTGATCTGCGACAAAACGTTCATCAAAATGAAAAACAGTGAAAAACTAACCTCAGTGAGTTGATAATCAACCGTTCAGTAACTCTGCTTAGCGTGAAATGAAACTACATCATTTTCACGTTTCATTCCACGTGAACGATAGTCCAGAGAAATCAGTTCAAAAACATCTTTCTATGCTAATGAGATATTATAGATGCTTAATACAATCGAATCGTTTGACTTATCTACTGATGAGATGTCAAAAATCAAAACGCTTATAGAGAAAGATAGTTTGGTACGTTATATCATATTACATATAAGCTTTCAACTCTATTTATAGGAACAAGCTCATGAGATGGGTCTGCTGATGTTATAAGAAGTTATCTTCTTCTTTCTCATCCTCAATGATTATGATACCCTCCATCACTCCTACCCTGCTTCATTCCCTCTCTCTCTCCCTCTCTCCCCCTCTCTCCCTCTATCGTTGAACGATATGATTGTTGGAAAGAAAGAAAATGACAAATTAAATATTTATTCGTTAATTGTATCACATAAGACAAACAAATATTTTGATTAACACATCTGCATGTATCAGAAATAGACAAAAACATAAAAAAAAAAAATATTTTAAGGCACTTTACATCAAAAGCTTTGAAACTTCTCCAAAATCAACTTTCATTCATTTTTGCTTGTTTCCCGTCGTAATGAATAAACAAAGAAAGAATATCTTCCTGGGAAAGTAGACGAAACGAAAAACGTCTTCCTTAACAGCTTAACAGTGAGAGAGGAAAGAAGTAGTGTGTGAGATAGAGAGATAGAGAGAGTGAGTGAGAAAGGAAAGTGAGAACTACAGGAATCACAGCAGACCAAAGCTTAATCAAAGAAACTTCTTCATTCAAATATATAACTTCGTTGCAGCCTTGTATTTATCTCAGCTGATTGATAGCGTAAGTGAGAGAAAAAAGGAAAATAGCAAAATGATCGAAGAGTTATGAAAAAGGAAAAGAAAAGACACAAATTAGATGTCTCCTTGTTATTGAAGCGTTCTCTGCTCTGTGAGCTGATAAAGAACAAAAAATAATCTTTTATGGTCATGTTTTCTTTTTCTTTTTTTTTCCTTTATCCTTCTCCTTCGTCAATGTTGCTATCGGCGGCATGTGTCCTCTCACTCTTAACGCCTTCAATCAGTTCAACCGCCAACAATATTTGATGAATTTCGTAGTTTTTCGGGGCAAAATCTCGAGTAGAGTATTCAGCTAAGTAGAATAGAGGAGATGACATTCATATTTCTTTTCTTTTTACAAAAGAGTGACATGTTGTTGAGGAAGACGCTTGTCCGATTTTCGGAATGATACATACGGGGATCGACTGAAGCGATTCGTTGAACATGAGACATCAGCTTCCACGCACGAATATTTACTGGAATACGGTCGTTTCCAACATGACTGGAAAATTGAACAGCAACCACTGAAATTGCAAAATATACAAATAAACAAATATGGTCATTTGATGTATTGTGTATGTCTAATTCCGAGATAGACGTATATCAGTCGTTCAAACATCACACATAGATATTCTCGGTTGACAACAAAACAGTTTTGTGTTAAGGATGTGGTAGGAGGAAGTGTAGGACATCTATCCCACTCCTCCTTACTTTTAACTTCCGAAATGATTTTGAAGAAGGAAATAAATATGTTTGAGTGATAAGATTACGAATGTCCCTACACCCACCCCAACAAACATCAGCCTAGCTAATATCCTTCTCAAACTCATTCCATTTTCACTTACATCCGTGTCTCAGCTCAGTTTTATGCAAAAAGACAAATTTATAGTAAAAAGTGCATAAGCTGCGTTTACACTTCAGGTTAATTTTCTTGTCATTTGCATATTCAAAAACTCAATAACCTTCACTGACAAGTTCAAACTGCATTATAGCCAAAGTAGGAACAACAGCCTATTCCAGTTTGTATGACAAAAATGCTGCCATCGTCTGGCCAGGCAATAAAGAACATTGGAAGTTCAAGTTTTTTTCTTCTTCTTACAAAATCATTAACAATGAGTTCAAGAAGCCAAAATATGACATGTCAATCTATGATCATTTCAAGCTAATAATTCAGAATTTATTTTGGCCCATGATGTCAGATCAGAGCGATTTTTGGAAGATTTAGCGTTCCCCTATGCTCACCATCTAGTTTTGTGATGATTTTTGAATCCCTCCATCTTCAGATCTCACCTCTGTAGCTATGCTCTCTCTTTCGTTTTGCCCTCGTAACTTCAAAGATATCATTTCCTCGAATTTGAGAGTTCATTTCCTTTTCTTCGCTCCCTCAAAAAGCATTTTCTCTCTCTATTAGTCTCTACCTCCATCTCACTCTCTCTCTCTTTAGGCAAGGAACATCAAAGCAGTTTGTATATTTAAGCTTCAAGCTCTTTCAAGTTGATCAGTTTTTTTTCGGACGAAAACCTCCTTAATCTGACAAAATAATGTGTTTAGACTATGGATAAAATTAAATTTCCTCTCGAAAACAGCACAAGTTCATGTGTCAAACCCATCGCAACGCAATCGAAAGAGAAATATATATGGCGAAATTTAATTTTTTGACTCATGGGGGTGAGTGAGAGTAAAGGCTCGTACGTGAAATGAAGACTGTGTCTGTCACATCCGATGAGGCTTCAAGTAATTTGTTGAAATAAAAAAAAACAAATAATCTCAAGCAATACATCAGAAGAGGGAGAGAGAGAGAAAAAAAAACGGCTTGGAAGGACATAAAACTTTAAGGGATCCAATCTCTCTTGATCATTTCCGTAACAGCTTGAGCTGGATAACGAAGAAGTGAAAAATAAGACTTGCGAGAGGAGCAGGAGTGGGCCACAGATGAAGAGGTAGTAGAGGATGGACAAGACGAACGAACAAAAAAAGACGAACAAATCGCCAAGTGAGCTTGATGGCTTTGTATTCTTCGCTTAACAAGAACATAATGAAGGAGATTATGTAAGGAGGGACGGGGGAAACTTCAAAATACTTGATGTATTTGATTAAATTCTTTTTTTCTTTTTGCATCCTTCAACTGTTCGCATACTTCTATCCCCATCTAAAGACTTGAAAGTGGAATGAAACAAATACAAACAAGCTTATTTAATAATCTCGACCCCTCAACCTTCTTGAATAGTTCTCTTCCCCTCCTCGCTCATTCTCTTCTCTTCTCTTCCCCCCCCCCTTTTTAAAACCTTTTTTTCTCGCATTCATGTTCAGCACTTTATTCGATTTCGTTTTAAAAAATAAAAATTTTCTATTTTTCTCCTTGTCTCTCGCACTATGTTATAAAAAAATAAGGAACATTGCCAGAAACTAGAACTACAACTAGAAATCTCAGTTGATGAAGATGAAGTACTTTCGGTTTTTCAGCTAACTTTTCAAAAATATGTGTATGTATAGTCTCTGTCATCTATTAACTATATCAAATATGACTATTCTATTTATACATACATATTGTTATTTACTTGAAGACAATAACTTTTCAGTCACCAACTCTTCACTCTTTCACTCTCTCTCTCTCTCTCTTGATCTCTCTGCGTTGACGTTATCTCTCATTTCCTTATGCTCAGGATTTGTGGCTTTGTGAGCTATAGTATTCATCATACGAGTTCCGCAATAGCTGACACGTACGCTATTCCCTCTACCTCATTCTCTCTGTCTCTCTCTCTGAAGCATATCAAAAAACTATTTTATTCATTCTTTTCTATAATATACTCATTTCCACCATATTATTTTCAGTGGAACTCCATTAATTTTGACAACAAAAAGAAAAAGAGAAAGAGAGAGAGGCAAAACACAGACTTGGCGGCATTTCCGTCTTTTAAAAATAAAAAGACAACCAACCATTCCATGCGTCGACAAGCAGACAAGACAGATTGAATGAGCACGTAGAATTGCACGTGGGAATTCAAAATATGCAAATTTTCCGTGTTTACCGAGAAAAGTAAAAAGGAAAAGCAACTGCTCGCAGATTTGAGTAATTACGTTATGAAACATTCCTTTTCTTTCTTTTCTTTTTTCTTCTGTTTGATTGGCTGAGTCATGTTTTGTATTTCCGATTGCTGACAAGAAGTGTTTGGGACTTGAAGGCAGCTCAACAAGCGACCTGACAAACTTAGTTATATCGCAAGCGTGATAGAAAGATTCAGCCATGAATGTTGAATAGCTATTTGGGATGTCCCGATAGCACAGCCATGTTCTACATCCTACTTTTCAAAATAAACTGTTTCAAGAAAGTTTAACACTTTTGAAGCAGCTCAAGAATTTTAAGTATGCACTTGGTGTTTCTTTGGACTTGCAGATGCTTTCAAGATCAAAAAGGCATAGCGATGTGAGTAATTGGTTATGCCTCACTCTCTGATCTCAAAATATGTGCCACAAAAATCCTTTTGTTATGCCGAAAATGAAAATAAATGAATAAGTTATGAAGAATTCAATGAGACCAACACTCGTTTGAGCAAACATTAATTCCAATTGACAATAGTTAAAGCTGAAAGCGTATCCCCCCCCACCACCACTACCACCCATTCTCTCCCTCTTTCACCACCCTCACGCCACTTTTAAACTTCCCTAACAACATACTGATTCGTCTATACTCAAAGATTCACGAGAAACAAAAAAAACCATTCTTCTCCTCACCTTGTCATTGCCATAAAACGTGAATGGAAATGCCGACAACACATGATGTATACGATTGGGTTTGCTGACGAGCTACAAACGATAGAAGGTTGTTAAAAAACGGAAATTTACAAGTTTTTTTTTAAAGGCTCTAAAAGCTATTCAAGGCTATAGCCAGTGAATTTCATTGAAAATCGGATGGATGTACATACCTCATAACGGAAAGAGCATTAAGAAGCAGTCGAAGCCAAGATGGCATATGGACGGTTCTCATGAACACTGTCTCCATGACGAAAAGACCTTAAATTATTCGACCTTAGTCAATTGTTTTATCAACTATTTGAATGAATGAGCATTCGTAAGTGTTTCATAGATACTTAGCAGGCGACAGAAGCAATCTCATGCAAGGTTTTCATGTTTGAACATATGCCCTTACTGAGAAATAAATAAAAGATCATTTTAGACACATACCTTGTATGGGAGTGTAAAACAGAAAATATAGCAGCATCGATATAATTAACATTTTGACAACAGAACGACGTAACTTCAATATGGCAATCTATAATACAGAGTTTCTGCTCTCTCTATCTCCTCTCCTTCTATCGATATACCTGTTGAGTTTCATTAGCTATTGTTTCTGACTGTCCCCATAGTACTCGACCCATCACCGTATATAAAACAGTTAGTAGTAAGAGGGGAGCTGCATAAAGAACTATAAATTCGGCCCATTTGAATAGGACTCTGAAATTAAAGCGATTAAAGAAGGATATTAGCTTTCATGCGATGTGAGATATCATTCATTTTTGATTTTTTTTTCTTTCATATTGCCCGAAGTCAATTAAATCTTTGAGCACGTTGGGAATCTCTTATTACAAAATTTCTTTTTTTGATGTATGCGTAACACGTTAACGTGTTTATCACAGACTCATCCAAGCAAACCTTTCTGCCACCCTTCGCCTGTCATCTCACTCTCTCTCTCTCTCTCTCATCCATTTTTTCTCCAAATACGGAAGTATACGCAGTTAAAGGGGGGGGAGGGATGTCAGTTTTTCTTGATTATTCTCATGAATCGCCTATTCATCTCCCCCAGTCTCTTCTTTATCCTTTTTCATAATGCCATTGCGAACAAAGTTGTCGCTTACTGACGTAAAGACTCTTCAGAATCCGAAAACTTGAGGAACTAAAAGTTTCTCTTTCTTCCCACAATGAAAAAGCAAATATAATTCAGTTGGGAGAGTAGATGGAGTAGAAAAACAAAGAGCCATGTTATAACTTTCACTCAGCTATTAGTTTACGGCAACATATTGTTCTATATGTCAGAAGCCACTCAATTTGAATTATTTGACTGTTCTATAGTGCACCCTGAATTCAACAATCTTCTGATTGCAAACATCCTTCGAAAGCTCCCTCCAATCAGTCTGACCGACTGTTACGTAATGTTAATTATAAGACATTGCAAGTAAAAAGCTTTTTTCATTCTCAATTACTTGTTTTGGATATTTCCAATATCTAGCAGATAACGCAAGATAGCCGTGGCTTTAGTGTTTGATAGCAATCATCTGATTCTCTTCCCTCCTGACAAGTAGCTCAATCTCTGCATCGTTTTTCCCATTTTCAAGCATAGTCTATATTTGGAGATGAACGTGTCTCTCTCTCTATCTATCTCTCTCTCTCTATCTCTCTCTCTCTCTTGCTTGTTTATGTAAAAACCGAAGAGAGATGAGAAACAGACAAAATAAGGGAAAAGGGGAAGATTGTTGACACATTTGTTAACGGCAAGGACCACAATGATTAAAAAGCTCATGGAAATAGGTTGGAAAGAAATAAAAAGGAAACAATTGGAAAACAACATCAAAAAAGAAAAAATCAGGTTGTTTGAAGTGAATCACATTTCAGCTTTTTATTCGAAAAGGAGTAACATTTGAAACCTTTTGGTTGGTTAGCTCTTTTACGCGCTGAACTTAGATTATTCTCCTTTACTCAGCCATCTCTCCTATTTCACTTTCAAATTTTGTTCAGCCAATGGGCCAGATCATCTCTATTTTCTTTCTCAAATTCAAGGAGTTTTCATTTGGAGATGCCAATAAACATTGCATGTGACAGAAAAAATTATGGAAAGATGGAAGGTACGATGAGATGGATGGAATTTTCCTCCTTATAATGAATACAGCAAGACCTAATATGGTTGGTACCTTCTAAAGGACGTCAAGTACAAAGCCCAAAGATGTACACAAACTAACGGAATGTCTCATCCCTATAAAGTAGTTGTCCAAGAAGATAAGGTTAGAGGACATGAAAACGAACAAATGGAAAAGCTTCTATACGGACCTTTCACAAACATACATTTTCTATGATTCCACCTCTCAAAGCACTAATGAGGGCGTAGAGGGCAGTTCGGGTTAATTCAAAACTCTCACAGTTCATGCTGGATACCGTTTTTGGAATGGCACTTCATTCAAATTAGCTAGCCATACCAAAGAAACTAGTCTGAGATAAGGCATGGATACCATAAAAGAGGACAAACAGCCTCGTAAACAAGACAGAGATGCATCCGAAAGGACAAATCTCAGTACTAATCATCTAGCTGGCTTCATCTAGCTCTTCTATTCCATTAACATTGGAGAACTGGCTTAAAATAAGCTCATATGCCTATATTAGAGTGCGTATTCATTCCCTAATATGCTCACACATACGAGTACAACAGTACCAAATTAAATCTGTGGAGTGGAAACCTAATGTGATGATATCGATATCTTCAATGTTTTTAAGGAAAAAAAAAGAAGTGATGTCAAACGTAGTAACCAATAAACCAAATGATGCCCTTTGTATTTACCTGGTGGATGCAGAAATTCCTCTCCATATGCAATATTTTTGATTTGTTCTGGGAACACGGATGATTCCTTGAGATATGAAATAGGGTGTGGCGAAAGCTGCAGCTATTGACCACATGCTAAGCACAACGATTAGCTGAAACAATAACAAAAATATTCCGGAAATACTGCTGAGAAATGTGAGCTGAACAACTCTTTTCCCGAATACATACCGTGGTTTTCGTTGAAAATCGTTGCATTCGAAGAGGAGTGCAAATGGCTAGAAATCTCTCAATGCCGATGGACATCTGCAATACACACACACTGTATTTGAGAAAGCGATTCGGAAAAGCAAAAGAATCCCATTAATAGTTACAACATCATCTTTGCTCAACTGAATGTTTGTGTGGTATATACCTTCTATTTCAAATTCTCACGCAATAAGTCGGATCAAGCAGAAGCGACCACGGAATTTTAATGTGTCAACAAGCAATTCAACTAATACTCAAGTTTGATTTCATGTTTTTCTTCGTAATCGAGTTATCTTCTTTAGATACGAGATGCTAATGGGTAGAACATGAAGTTTCATAGATAGTGATGCCAAAAATTCGAAGATATCACATGCCAGAAGTAACAATAACAACATCAACAACGAACAAGAAAAGAGAAACAGTGAATGACCAATGATAGGGGATGGGCAGGGATGGGAAAGTGGTTGATTACTAACCTGTAACAGAACGCTAGCATAAAGGAAGTACTCTTGTAAAAATCGAAGATAATGACAAGAGCTTTCCGGTAGTATCCATCCATGATCAAGCAGAACCATGGCCATATCAGGGGCACAGAAAATCAAATTGCCTGACAAAACATGTATGACAATTCGTAATACGATCGTTACATTACTACACTACTGATCAAGTAGTGTGCAATATGATATGAGAAAAATGCTATGTATATATTACCTATGTCTGCAAGAGCCAAATTCAACAGAAATTGGTTAACAGAAGAAAAGAGCAGCTTCTTATCAGATACTATGACGGCGACAACAAAAGCATTGCCCAAAACTCCAACAAGAATAGTAAGAGAAAACAGTAGAGCAAATATTAATGCCACCGGTAGCGATAGACAAGATGAGCAATATGACGCAGAATTATTGTTTTGACTATTAGATACATTGACAGAGGATATATTAGAATTCGTAGTCACTAGAGAGGAATTTCCATCAGAAATAAGAATTTTTGGCGATGGGACAATAGTTACTGATTTGGTATTTGAGGAAACTAAAGTAATCGTCGTATGCAATGTGGATGGAGCCGAATAAGGAGAAGTGATCGTTGAGGGTGAGACAGTGCGGCTGGTTGTAGTAGAAGTCGCCACAACAAACAATATAGGATACACGGATAAGAATACGAGAGAAGACATTAGCCCAAGGTCTTGCTCATGTATGGACCATCCAGCTCATATCCTAGCTTCCTGAAAACATAAGAGATTAACATGCTATTGCGTTGGAAGCTTCCGCCTAAAAGTATGAGTGTGAAAGAATGGAGAGAGATAGCAGTAGAACAAGTACCGCCCATAGGACGTTTACTCTGTTCGAACTTTCAATGATTGATTAGCATAAAAAGTAAAGTCTACTTAAATCTTCAAAGTATATATATAGAGGAATTACGCATTGTGAAGCTCCTTAGCAGGCAGAGAAATTTGATGTGGGATATACGCGTTCAAGGCGGAGCGAACTTGACGTCAGGAAAAATGACACACATCATAAAAGGATAGCTGCTGCCTCTGCATCGAAAATCTGGCACAAGTCTTAGTAACTTTGAAGATCTGATTGTCAGAGATCTTTATTGATTCAGATCAGACTAGAGACATCAAGAGGGCAAATGATGACAGTTTGTGCAAAATGAAGGCTCTTGATACATCAAATAAGATGTTCAGAACAACATAATAAACACGTTTGGTAAGAGGAATGATGTTAATATTACGGATGTTTTGAAACAACCTTTACCATAGCTATCATCACCATGGCCCAGAATCTAGAAGTTGTTTTTAGGCGTGAAAGAGGAAAAGCAGTATGTAGCATAAAATAGGGAATAGATTGCTTGTCTCCCAAGCAGAAAAAAACAATAATTTACAAATATCATGAGTATTAACAATACTCAAATATAGAGATAATTCAATTCCTTTCTCTAGGCTAGTGAAAAACCCGCCAAGCAAAGGAGGAGGAGCAAAGGAAACGACTTGAAAACGTAATCATATTATGCTTGTAAAAACACTTCTAACGTTCATATTTTCTGCATTTCGCAGATTTACGAAAAATTTGGTAAGATTCATGTCAACATTCCGAGCTAAGAGAAAACAGCAACTTAGATTTTGAATAGAACAGCAAGACTGGTAAGCCTTTGATAACAGCAAAAACGCACATATTCTGAGCCAAAAATAGAGAGGGCAGTGTAGCGAACGCGGAATGTTGGCTCATTCCATAACTAATGCAGATGAGTAAATCAGGACTACTTTGATTAGTTTAGATGATCATCAGAACAAAGTCTAATATCAAGAAAGTCAGGTAAAAATAGACAGCATTAATGGCGCAAAACTCTATTGTAGATAAGTCAAGCGAAAAATAAAAAAATACACAATTAGCTTACTGAAAAAAAAGCTGAAACAGCTTCAAATAGAATGAAATTGATATTATGAAGAAAATCTTAGAACTTTTAGCTCGGGAGCTAAGCTCAGTGAATGCAACCGTTCTGAATGTCTACACTGTGAAAACAGTTTTGTATTTGAATTTGTGAAAGGTGAGAAGACAATGAATTAAACATCCTTAAGCAATCAGTGTTAAATTCACACTTTACTTTAAGCAAACACTGAGAGTTGCAAAAGCGAAAAAATGTGAGCAACAAAAAATATGATGTATTAGGCAGCTTACTAAACCAGTCATAAGGGCGGGAAAAGCACAGGGTCAACTGGATCGAAACAAAAACATAGTGCAAACCATTTTAACGAATGCAGAACCAAGTCACATCATGATTTGGTAGATATGAAGTTCATGCAGCAAAGTTAAAATCAAAGAGGAAAAATAGCTAAGGGGAAGTGCTGTACGCGAGCAAAGAACATGTTGCACTAGATAGAAAATAGGAGGAGTAACCAGCCAACAAGTTCAGCGAAAAAGTGGCAACAACAATGGTTAATGAAAAACGAATAAACTAATAAGATAGCGCCATTATAGGTGGACAAAATATTTCGAAAACGCATTATTCTTGTAAATTTTAAGAATTGAAGACACTTCGGCTGCTTGGAAACCTATTGTCTTTGTGAATATGAAATCTGTCAACTGACTTTTTTCAGCGAGACTTCTGGTCATTACGCTCACTTACGGGCTTAAGATGTATAGTAACTCAAATTAACAACCTAAGTTCGGCGTTGAAGATCCTTCAAATCCGTTTGCCGCTCAAAACTTATACGTGATTTTTAAAGATATGCGAAATGAGAATATAGACGGGGCATGGAGAAAGCAAATAATGAACGATTAATTATATCGAGATTAAGATTAATCAGCAGGAATGTGTCAGATTGCTCATTTAAGCTGTGAGGAAATCTGATGTGTCGAAGAACGAAATGGGCGGGAGATCGGAGTAGTAACCTGAGGCTTACATAAACAAAGATTAAAAACTGAAAGAAATAGGAACTCGAAAATAAGCGGACAGAAAAAGAAATCATTTGGAAGAGCTCAATACGAGAGAGAGAGAAAGAGAACGAGTAAGATGGAAAGCCTCTCACTACTATCTGAATTGTAAAAAATCGAAACTAATTTCAAACATACCGGTAGTAATCACGAGTTCCCACTCCAGAAATCACAGAAATCTTGTCAGAACCATGTTCTTCAAAAGCTATACGAGCGGCTTCTTCCATCAACAATTGCCCGAAGCCCTAAAAATATTAAACTTCTATGATATTATGAAGAGAGAGAGACGTACCTGATGTTGGAATTTGCTTGGGTCTCTGTTCGACACAGATACTACAGAGCCATAAACATGTAATTCTCTCACAATAGAGACATTCCCCTGGAACAATTGATTAAATAGATCACTGCCAAAAGTACTTTCACAGAAACTAAGAAGCTATTGTTACGCTTCGAAAACATACTTTCAGTTCCGGTCGATGTGCTTTATCTGATATTTTTCTTAAGCGCAGCAACCCTACTAAGATGTCCTAGATGTTTAGAGGATTATTTAACATTGTATATTAACAGCAAGAACCTGATCAGGGTCTTCATATGCAAGGAAAGTTTCCCAACCTCCGTTAGCAACATAGTCTCTTCTGATAAGTTCAACTTGATATGGTCTGATCTTATTATGAATCTCCTAAAGTGCATTGAGATTTCAGCTTTCTAGCTTCCTAATTATGATTTCCAACCTGTATTCCGACTTCTCTCGTTCTTACATCTCGACACAATAATCCCAATTGTTTCATTCTTGCTAGAGCATGTTCTCTCAAGTTTCCGTGTTCTACTCCAGAGGAAACCTTAATCGGATTTCTATATAAGGTGACAGAACAGGTTAAACTGTACTAATGGCATGGGAATATCACGTTGAACACGATACACTCTTGTCCAAGGAGGCACTAAAGCCAGAATTTTAGCAACAAGGTCGACAAGTACTGATGGTTGATAACTCTGAACATAACAATTGTAAAACAAAACAAAGTTATTTATCACCTTGTAGCGACCACTCTTCCATAACTCGTACAAGCCAGTTCCACGAATAACAAGAGTAGGATATAATTTCAAGCCGTCGGGACGGAAATCAGGATTCTAAAAAAATGGAAATAAATTCCTCACTCAACTAAGAGTTCTAACTTGGAATAATTCCATGAACTGTTCAATATCCCTCTCTAATCCAACATTAGGCAAATCTGGCATCATATGAATCACAACTTTGTAACCAGTATCTTTGGACATATGGAAAGTTTCACAAACACTTTTAACCTGGAGAAAGTTTGAGAAGCTGAACGCGCAGCTGCTAGCAGTTCTTACCGTATGACCACGATTAGTATCTCGAGCAACATCTTCGTAAGTAGATTGCACTCCGATCTCCAGCCGAGTACATCCATACATCAACATATCATCCAAATGTCTTGGTAGACAATAATCAGGCCTTGTTTCAATAGTTATTCCAATACACTTCATTTTACTTCTTTCCGAGAAGGCAACCGCCTTTAAAAAAATAAAATGTCCTCTGATCTTTCTATCACGTCACCTCTGGAACATCAGTCGATGTATGACCGCTGAGTGCATCATGCAAGTTTCTTATGAAATAATCACGATACTCTTTAGGAAGAGACATGAATGTTCCTCCCATAACAATGAACTCCACCTAAAGTGATCCTCGATTTCCTCAGGCTAATAGGAAGACAAACCTTATCAATCGAGTGACCCAACTGAGCAAGTTGATTTATTCTACCTCTGGTTTGTAAATACGGATTGTACCTTTAAAATAGAACGATTATTTGAAAAAGATTTTAGGTATATAATCCAGATTGATATCATAAACACATCGGTACGTTGAACTTTACAGAAAAACTGGACGGAATACAAGTTTAGAGAAGTTACTTCAAATTTCACACGAAAACAACTCTAAACTTATTCCGGGGAATTTTAAAAGTTAAAAGATACCTTGCTCTAATAGCTCTCATACTAGTGGGTTCATATCCAGTGTAACTTTGGGTGGAGTACTCGAAATCCGAATCCGGCCCTCCTAAATATAACATGTATGTTCACCAAAAAACAAATCACAAACCAGGGCAATACACACAAATATTTCCAGTGAAGTTTATATGAGGACATCTATGGGGTTTACTCATCACAGCCACCACAGCAATACCAGAAGCGGTTCTAACGGGTTTAGCTTTCAACTTCGGAAGCAAAGCCTCCTGAAAAAAAGATGAATGAACATCAAATGATATCAATGAACCTTGTGCTCATGTGGAACTCCGGCGATGATGTCTACCAGCTTAGGTTGCGAGCTTAAGCCATATTTTTGAGCAACCTGTAAATTCGAACATTGTTTTCCATTGACTGGTTGCTTCTCACCACACATTTCAGCCGATTCAAATTAACATCCTTTTTATGTACGTGTGCGTCAACCAAATTTGCAACAATATCGTTGATGCAGAGAGCCATCAACTCCTTTTGAGAGCGACCTTTGAAGTCATTGACTACCATGGCTGAATTCAACAAGTACAAAATAATATGGGAACGGAGCAATTAAATGATAACTGTAGGCTATAACCATACTAAAATTAGAATTCACAGAAGAGTGATATTATTATAAAACAAAGAGATCAAAAATTAAAAAATATAAAACATGTTATTCCTCCATCGGCTCCTGATCTGTGAGAGCTCGAATTACGTCTCTCTCATAGTTACTAACAAAAGTTTCCAGGAAATGTGTAATGTTATTGAACAGGGTGTCTGGACCACTTATGGGCACTATTTTCCATCTGAAACGAGAATAAAACAAAAACTTTACAGAAAACAAACATACAGTATATCGTTTCCATTCTGTTCCATGCCAACCATTGCTGTTCCAAGATGTTCGTCTGGGAATTCGGTTTCTCTTAGGATCGTTCTAGTGATCTGGGAAAAGTTATCAATAGTCGCAAGAAAAACAAAAATATACACCTCTTTTTCCAACTCAAAGCCTACTATTTCTTTCCCGTTCTCAGCGCGATACTTTTCTGCTACTTTCTTCTTCATGCTTCTGCGACCAACCCAACATTCGGCATTGATACCGTAATTCTCATATTCCTCATAACTGTGCTCAATTGTTTTTGATCTTTTCTTTGCTGGCTGAGTGAAAATTTCAAATCCGAGGATCTCTTCACATAAAGCCTGAACGTATTCTCTAGCCCGCTTTTCCGACTTCTGAAAGAGAAACGTATTTGTCAATGCAACGTTATAGCAAGTTAAGTTACATCATCAAGTTTTTCATCGACACCACATAGTCGAACAGTTAATGGAGGGAACTTCGACTCCACCTTATTTTCCTCTAGGGACAGAAGATCGCTGAACCTGTGTCTATAGAAAGTTTCAATTCATTAAAACTGATCCAATTCGCAAACCGGGCATGCTTCAGCTTGCCTAACGAGTATGTCATACGTCTTCTCATTCGAGAAAGCAACTTCTGGCAAACATTCTGGCAAACATTATGCCCTAACTCGAGAGGGTCCTATAAAGTAACGATCTGACCAGTTGACAATACTTTCTAAATACCTGAACGTTTAGAACTCCCAGTTTGAACGACTCCGGAGCTAACCCATCGAACTTGTCGATAGGTATTGGTGTTTGTGAGAAACCTACTAGAACGAAGCTTTCAGATTTCATGTCAACCATATAAAGGAAGAACTCCTGCAAAGTATACCAAATTAATATGGAAAAAACAAGTAATCATTACTTTGAAAAAAGTTGGAAAATGCAAACCTTCCAGATTGTACGGTTGGACTTCAAAGTCAATTCTGTAAGACTTATGAATCGTCTGAAATCAGATAGTGAGAAGTGATTACAATGATGATCTAGAGCATACCGAAACGTTAGAATGAGAAAACGCTGGCACAGCTTTACGCTGAATTAGGAAGTAGATAACTAACAGATTCAGCATATATGCATTGAACTGTCCTTTCTGAAGAAGACGAAGAGTTGAAGAAATAAAAAAGCGTATGTACATGTTGTTTGGGCAATGGTTCGAAGAGATCATTTGTAAGAGCCCAAAATCGGAATGCCAGAAGAAGTTTACGTAGATTCCCACTTTGATCAGCTTCTATCAATGAGCGGATGTATTCTGATTTGGCTCGACCGAGGATGTTGTTGCATGATAAATCAACGATCAACTGAGAACGTTCGATTGGAATATGGAATAATTACTTTTTAATTTACCTTCTTATTCATGGTAAATCTGACTACAGGACATCGAGCGTCTAAAACGGGTCTCTGATGACCTAACCAAGGAACGTTTTTTCTAATCTCATTCAGAATTTTACAGAGCAAACGTGTTTGATCTGAAGAGTGTAATCATACTGATACTGGAATTAAGCTAACCAGCAAGAGATAGTTTCTTCATTTCATTTTGAGATATCTTGTTTGCGGAAAAGAACGCTGCGTTTCCAGTCAACAAAGCGTATTTATCTCTTTTAAAATCAGTAAACTCAGTATTAGTATCGAATTCCAAACTTGCATCCTATAAAAGTGTTTGTTATGTTCGTCACAGGAAAGCTACTCACAACGTCCGAGTCAATCGTACCAATGGTTGTTATACTTGAACCAAACATTTTGATTTTTGCTCCATAGAAATATTTGTTCATTTCAACTTCCAATCGGTCCATATGTCCCTGTCTGAGTTTCATCTACAAAGCTCAAGATTGAATTTTATGAAATTAACAGAACTACTTGTTCAGCTGGTATAACTATATGGTTTATGATGCATGTGATTTGACCATCATAAGTATCTTCATTCAATATTGGTACCTTTACAGCCTCCTCCACTATCTCAAACAAGAAAATTCAAAAATAAAACGTTCCTTCCTACTTCTTTCGAGTTAATTTTCTTATCTTCCACATCGCTATTGAACTGGAGTTCTCTTTTCAAAACGGAGATTGTTCCCTGTTCATAAACAGTATCTACTTACACTTTGAATACCTCATACCTGAGATAATTCTATTTGGGAAGCATTCAAGGCTGCTTGAGCGCTTGTAGGATTCTGGAACTCAACTATAGCGTAGTTTGTGCCTTCTTTATGTAAGAAGCGGGAAACACTACCAAACTTAATTCGACGTGTTTAAAATTGAAAACCGAGAAAAAAAACCTTGGCAACTTCTATTTCTAGATCTTTGAAGCAAATTTCCAACTTAATTGGCCATTTCATGTAAATGGATTTCTGAGCAATATCCTGCAACTCTCTGTAACTTGCTGTCAATCGAATATGTCTTTTTCCGGACTGGAATGCTGTTTTAGAACGAAAAGTTTGTCCATTAGAAGCTCACCTCATGTAGTTCAACTGATTCAGCATCAGAAGCATATTTAACGTTACAAACTTCACAAAATTTCATGCCTAATATAGAACTTTAAAACACGAGTGGAAAATGGAAAAGTAAAGAATGAAAAGCAACAGTTACGAAGTTGTACCTAATGTCATATCAAATATTTAATAGCGAACGTATAACACTAATCAAAAAATCTATGCTCTGAACTCTTACTCTTTCTTAGTTGGAACTGGTGTTATCTTTCTTCCATTGTCTAAATTCTTCTAACTTTCTTTGTCGGGAAGTCATTCCTGTCCGACGAGCTTCGGAACGTTCAGTTAAATACTCATTCGTCATATGGCTTCGGAATTCAGTATCATGGAACCTAGATAACAAGTTCGGTATAGAAATAATATATGACTGACTTATCAAATTTGCATTTATTGAATATAGCCAAGGATGGTTTGCATGATTGTAAGCCTTTGACAGCTCCATCATCTTGCATACATTTCACCAAATCTGCAACTAATGTATCAGAAGCTTTCTGTTGATCGCCTCACCTAAGTACTGCGTTCGACAATCAATTTTCTCAATCCGCGCATTCATTCTATTAGGAATAATAACATCTGCCTCTATTTTACGAAGAGTTCTATCATCAGGGTCGCCTCAAATCTCGACATTAATTAGTCAATAGGATATAGTTTACCAAGCCCATGAGGTCCAGAAGATGAGTAATGAGGAAGTATAGTTTTCTTAACACGGTATTTCTTTCCCGTCTCCTTATCCACAAAAATCTCTCCTTCTTTCAAACCTTCTAAGTTATCAGTCTTCAGCAAATCTTCTTTAGCAGCAGAAGACATGTCTGAATAAAGCAAAATGAAATAACAAAGTATGGGTGTGAGCTGAAATTTTGAAAAAAAAATAAGATACGTGACGGTCATTTTCGCTTTCACGATACGTTCCTCCACGGTTATGAAGTGAGTTTTGATAACTATATCCTAGTTTTGCAATCTAAATCAAAACATTTTCTGTTTTAACTTAACCTTTCCAAGTATGTTCAACTAGATATGCGAACTCATGAAGCGATTAAACTGTATTATGCATGAAGCCCATTGATGCTGAAGAACAACCGCACACTCGCGTTTGGTGGAATTAAATGAAACTGAGGAAGCACGGCATTCACGTGATAACTACTTTATGTAAATGAAACATTCAAATCACGGAACAATCAAAATAAAATTTCGGTTCGAAAATCTCCTGCAGAAACTGATAAAATCGGAAATTCACATGCATACGATAAGATTAGTAATTCGGTTAGAAAAATGTAACATTCAAGTAAAACTCTCTATATACAACTATTTTAAAATACGGGCGTTTTGGATAAAACCATTTCCAACGATTCATAATCGTGCAGCTTTAGACCTTTTCGGTTCTGCTATCTTTTCCGTCCAAATCGAACAGATATTTCAAGTCAGCCATAGTCAACTTGTTCATCTTCTTGCTCGTAGCACTGCAACTTATGAGTAATATGCTGCATTGAGATTGTTATAACGTACCCATCTAATACAGCACCAGCTAATTCCAGTTTCTTGTTTTGTAAATCCAATACTCTTTGTTCAATGGTACCCTTCGTTACCAACCTGGGAATAAGCAAGGTGTTTTCTGTACACTACAATAAACCAACCTGTGAATGAAAACATTCTTCTTCTGACCCATTCTATAAATACGATCGCAAGCTTGTGATTCAAGAGCAGGATTCCAATGCAAGTCGACCATTACCAGATGATTACCTAGGAAAAAAAGTTGGATACATCAAACCGGAGTGGTATCACCTCCAATCAAATTCAATCCTACACCTCCAGCGGTTAAGGAAAGGAGCATAATCTTGGGACCTTTTCCCTCTTTGTTGAATGCATCTACTCTTTCTTGTCTGAACTCAATAGCTCCAAACTTTTTCAATAGATACTAACAAACCTATCAGCAGGAGGCACTTTTCCAGTGATGGAAGTATACTTGACCTTCTTTTCAATCAAATGATTTTCCACAATATCGAGAAGAGAAGTCCACTGAGAGACAATAACCCTAAATACCAAATGGTAATAGGTAATCATCAATGATTTGAACTCACATTTTTTCTGAGGGCTCCAGCGTTTCAATGAGCTCAATCAGCTTCCGAATCTATGAAGATATTGGATCAAATAGAATGAACTCTTCGCAAACCTTGCAAGACAAGTGGGTAGAGTCGAAAATTTTTTCAGCGGTTTCATCTTCCATTTTCTCAACGGTTTTGTCAAGATCCAAATCGGCCATAGTTCTCTCCAAAACCGTTTCAATGTCTTCTCCACCATTGATGTTGTCAAAAGCATTAATATCTACAGCCTTTAATAATATCATGGGTGAGAATTCGCTGTTCTGAATATTTCACCTGTCTAGTTAATGCCATATGCACACAAGCTTGTCTCAATCTAAGTAACATAACAAGCATACAAGACATCGCCTGGAACTTGTCTCCCTCGTTAATGGTCGCTGCTCCAACTGGAAAGGTACATTGAGGTAATTCAATCTAATAATTAGATTTACAATTGAACGGATTGATGATTTCTTCTCCCTTCTCTTTTCTTTTCTTTCTGTACATTCCATAAATCTGGTCATGTCGAGCATCTTCCTCTTCAGACAACATTTGTTTGACTTTTTGTCTGAATTCAAGGAACTCAAATCTCATGATACTTATAGGACAAACTGAGTAGCTGTGAACATGATGTCGTAGATTTTTCCTTCCATGCCCTCGAGTACGAGATCATGCTGGTGGATAGTCTTTGGTGGTAGGTCTACGATGGGTTTCTGAGTTGCGGTAGATATTTGATTCTTGGTTCGTCTCAGAAGGATATTCTTCACCAGCATATTCAAACGGTCAGCAGCTTTTTCTAAGAAACAAGTTGATTCAGGAGAATTGAAATCAAAACTGACGCGATCCACTCATAATGAACTCTTTCCAATGTTTTTCCTCATCGAAGGGTGACACTCTCATGAACCTTAAGAAAATATCATAATTAGATGTCCATGTTAACTACCTGATGAGACTGAAAAGATCCCATAGATTGTTATGGACAGGAGTACCAGTCAAGCACCATCTAGCCGTTCCAGACAACACGCAAGCCGACTAAACGAATGTTGTAGTATAAGAAAGTATAAGAACTATAGAAAAACCTTAGACACAGTAGTAGTTCTATTCTTAATGGCATGAGCTTCATCGAGGACAATACGAGCCCAGGCTATCTCGGCCAAAATGGATTTAGAACTTTTCGAAACCTGAACAGTCTGGCTTTATCAAGAGAATGCAATATGACGAACCTTATTTTTGCTTTTTTTCACAAACTTCGAATCGTCGTCGTCTGAGTCGCCCTAAACAAGGTATCAAGAAAAGAAGGTGAAAAAAGACTCACGATTACAACTTTTTCGGAGAGTTCCGTACCGAGGAGATTGTAGGTTGTAAGAACAATGTCAAATTTACCCAGTCTAAAAAACTTTCATCACGAGTAAGACATGATTATTACCTTCTTGCATCTGACTCTCTCTTATTCTTGGGACCATGGAAAACGTGGACACTCAATCTATCTGGCTTCACCCTTCTCTCAACTTCCGCTTTCCATTGGTAAATCAAAGAAGCAGGAGCAACTATGAGTGTTGCATTACTGAATTGAAGTCTGAAAAAGAGTATTTCTGGTGTGTCTACAGGTGAAAACTTACCCATTCTTTTCGGCTGCAGTTCTTCTCTGTTTGTCAAATTCATCGTTGAAAGTTTCTTTTCTCTTGATTCTCTCATTTTTTTGATGCATAATGAGAGATATGAGAGACAACGTTTTTCCCAAACCCATGTCATCAGCTGGAACACTTTAACAAAAGGAATTGACTTCGATTTACCTAAAATCCCAACAGGAGGTGTTTGAGTTTCTCTCCACAGAAGCCACGCCAATCCGGACTTCTGATGCTCCATGAGCTCACAAGACAGTCCCTTTGGCGTCTCGATTTTGTCGTTTTCATCAGGAGCAGAATTAAGAGCCCTAGGCAACGTTGTGTTATGTTATTCACCCGAAACAAACCTATGGAAGTTTCCTAACGCTTCTTCAGTTACTTTAATGACTTTAAGCATTCTATTTTCATTCATAGCGCCACCAAATAGGCGATTTGAATCCTCTGTAACAAAAGAGAAATTAGGAAGAACTCAAACGAAGAAGTTACTTGTTAGCATTTTGTTATAAACGTCGGGATCGAATTGTTGCTCCAGAACAAGAGGACCACGAGGTTTCTCTTGGCTCTTAACGTCTATTATCTAAATGCATAATTAAGAGCATTTGTTAAACTGAAGAACAAACTTCTGGAAGAACTCTAATTGCTTCCACTGGCTTCTCTCTTTGCACAACGTCTACGACTTCCTAGAAAAAAAAATTTGTGAGAAGGTAGATCTTCTAAACTTACCAGCTCAGGTCTAGGGTTGTGGCTTTTCATGGCTATTAGATTATTAATGTGTTGCATTTGAGCCTTCAACTTGCTACCTCCATCTGGCAACTCATTGAGGTTGATCCTCAACAACGCCTTCTGCAAATAGGTATATATTTATGTATGTCCTTTCGCACTAGAACTTACACTCAGCAAGCTCTTGCGTTCCATCAGAGATTCTAAAGATTCGTTGTCATACTTAGTAGTGAGCTTCACTTCTTGGTTAGATATGGGTAGAGTTTGTATATTCTCTTTTTCACACTCCTGTTTTTCATGCTCAATGTTCTCTTTCTCGTGAGAGACATCATAGTTATTAGTGCCATCGTCAGTTACATCGTATGTTTCTTTATCTTCTTCATCTTCATCATCATCGTCGTCGTCGTCAGAAAGCACTACAATTGAAGGCTCTGACCTGTAGAACAGAGAATGAGTATCAAAGATTTACTACACTCACATTTTGCTTTCATTATTAGAACTATCAATTATTTCAGCTATTTTTTCTTCGACAACTTCAACATCGGAGTCATCCTCAATAGAGTGCTCTGTCGGTAATCAGATGAGTAAATCGTCTATAGTATCAATCTTACCTTCCTCATTATTAGCACTTTCGTCCCTTTCGTCACTTTCGTCATCTTCGTCATCTACGTCTTCTTTGTCACCTTCGTCATCTTCTTCATCTTCATCGCTTTCAGAACCGCTAAGACTAACCACTTCGTGACCAGCATCTTCGGAACCGTTCACATGCTTTTCATCAGCTTCTCCATCATCATCGCTGTCCGAAATGATAACAGCTCGACGAGGTGTTGTGAATTGCTTTCTAAAAGAGGATATAAGTATCTCAGATGATCGAAACCTATCATCGGCATCAAAAGAGAGTAATGAAGACATAGAAGAATTACTCTCGGAAATAGCTTTCAAGTTGTTTGAGGAATCATCTTCGGACAGATCATCCATATTCAAGATTTTACGAGTCTGAAGAAAAAACAGATACAGGAAAACTTGAGGGAGGAAACTTTTTTCTTGGATTGATTCGGGGACGCGAAAGAAGAGTTAAATCCTCTGAAAAACGAGAACTTTATAGCTATACAAATTAACCAACTCTTTCAGTGGAGAACTTGTTAATCTGTCTCCTCCTGAACTATTCCTTCCAAAAAGGTTAGAGCTCGCAGTGCTGCCTGCAGAGGTGCGTGACCGTCTATCAACTGCCTGAATCGACGTCATAAACAAAGAACTCTTATTTTTTCGGCACCTCTTTCTTATTAACAACAGATTTGCGCAAAAGGCGTTCTCTGAGCTTCTGCTTAGATACAGCATCATTCTTAGCAGTAAGCTTCTGCGAAAACGGTGATAATGTAGTTTCTGAAAATGGAACCCAGTAAATTTTCCAAAATGTTGACCAACTATCATTCGTCTCATGGAAGCTTCTGCTTCTATCAATTTCATCGTCGTCATATTCTTCGGAAGCTAAGGAAACCCTGATTACATAATCCCGCTGTGACACTCACCATCTGCTCTATGGTAAGACCCCTCGCTCATGGCATCGAACGAATCTGACATAATCGCACTAATATCGTCTTCTTGGGAGAACTAGAAAATTTAAATTTCTTCCAGTAAAAAAGTCGAATGAATTACTTTTCTAGATTTGTCTGCAGGCATAGGAGTTGAGGAAGTGAAAGAATTGAACGTCCTCTCCTTAACATACATGTGTTTACAAATTTATACTATTATTACCTTTAATGATCCAATGCTGTTATTTTTTAAATTAGAGCTAAGTACTTCTTCCTCCTCATTCAGCTGAAACATAGGATTTGAAGGTCATCCTTTCCACCGACTTACTGTAACGTTAATAGATTGGTCTCCATCTTCATTTTCAGGAATAGTGACCCTACTGCCCAGACGTGACATCTTAAAATACTATATGTATATTATTCTGCCCATTATTAACATATATTTCATATCAGAGCTATCAAATATTCAATTTTTGTTTTTGCAATTCCCGCCTAATTACTGTATTTCTGCTTTAAATTTTTATAGTAACCCTGTATTACCAATACATTTTCGCGTTAACGTCAACTTACGTATGCGACGTAGCTTAATTGTATCTAAGCGGTAGTTCAAGTGAAATATTAATTTCTTAGAATATTTCAGCGGGGTAATGACCTTCGATCCATTCTTTCGCTTAAAGGAGCGAAACTCTCAGAGTGCCTATCGAGATCAAAGATATCAGGTTTGTCCTAATTCTGAGATTAAGCAAGTATTGCGGTTTCTAGGGTACCCTTAGAGACCAGGAGTATGCTCTCCGAAATTCCACAACTCTTTATGTTGGAAACCTTTCTTATTATACTCGCGAAGAACAAGTAAGCTCTTCTGAGTTTTCATTGAAACATTCATTTTAGGTTTATGAACTCTTCGGGAGAGCTGGTATTGTTAAACGTGTTATTATGGGGCTAGATCGTTTCAAGAAGACTCCTTGTGGATTTTGCTTTGTCGAGTATTACTATTTTAAAATTTCAGACCTTTGTTTTCCATTCAGATACTACACTCGAGAGGAATCTGAGAATGCCATTAAGTGTGTCAACGGTACACGGCTAGACGATCGTGTTATCAGAACTGATTGGGACGCTGGTTTTGTCGAGGGCCGCCAATACGGAAGAGGAAAGCACGGTGGACAGGTATTGATAAGTTTTTACTTTATTGCTCATATTCTATTTGCTAAGGTTCGTGATGAGTACCGCAAGGACTTCGATCCCGGCAGAGGTGGATGGAACAAGATGATGAGCATCAGAAGTAAGTATATCTTGACTAACAGTATATAAGCATATGTTTCAGCTACTGAATGAATTCACGCAGTGATATAATTGGTAATCTCATGAATGATTCTCGTATTTAAATGTGTTGTGAATACAATAAATCGGATTTCATTGTGTCTTTTGTTATCTCACACATCGTACATTCGATGGATATTATTTCAATCATTCGAGAGATTTTCGCTCACTTTGTATGTTATAGCATGTGGCTTCTAGCAAGCTGCCTACTCTTAGTGGGAAGTTATGCTGCTGATTCTTCTGGTAAAGCCGTGACCGTTACTCTGAATGCCAAATGGGGTTCAACAGCTCTGATTGCCGAAACAAGGTGAGTTCACCTCATTTCACTGATGCTTAAGTTCATTCTTCTTAAGTGAGTTTGTGGCTCAAGAAAGTAATAAGACTTTCTGGGATTTTGTTCAATTGATTTCGGAGAAGACTGAAACGCAAAACTGGGAAAGCTGTACGTAAGAAAGCCTAGATTCTTGACCATTGTTTCTATTTTAGTAACTCAAGAGAAGAAGTATGACTTGGCTTTGAAAAAAGCAGCCACAGTCCTAGGTGAATCTTCTATGGATATCCTACGTCTCTCGCTTTCATTGAGATCATTTTCTCCTATTGTTCAGTTATTCCAACAGGTACAATAGTTTCTCATGATTATTATCTGACCATTGTTCTGAAGATTGGCTCCGAGTATAAGAACATCTCATGCTCAGCATTCTTTGACGTTCATGGAAAAGTTGGATGTTCAGCTGGAGATTTGATTAAAGCTGTTGAAGACGCCGGTTCCAAGTTTGTGAAGATACTCAGCGTCTCTAAGATTGCCGTTCAGACGACCCGAGCTGTTATCAGTTGATCATATCTTCCCTTCTTCTCATGACAGCAAAGTAGTAACAATTGTTTATGGAGACGTAGGCTCACCAGAATGGAGGGAACTTCATCGTCAAGCGAGAACACTAGTGAAAGATGGAAAAACTCAATATGTTTTACGTCATTATAATAACGTAGGGTTGTATAGTAGTTCTCCCCTCATCCAAGTATCTCAAACAGGCGGAAAACTTGGAGAAAGTATCACTGTCCGGCTATGGAGTTGAGTTGGCCATCAAGAACACTGAGTACAAAGCCGAAGATGATAGTAACAAGAAAACAGTTGAGGATGTAGATGAGGAAAACCTTCATGGTTTCAATTTTAAATTACTCAAGTATACAGATGCATTGTTGTTTTTTGTGATATATTTTGTTTATAGAGAACTCCATCCTGATGCTAAGGATTCTCTTCAGAACTTTAGAATGCATTTGAAGGAAATCGAAGAGCTTGCCCCATTGAAGCAGTGGGAAATTCAAGATGTTGCGTTCCAGGTACGGGCCTTTCTGTTTATCAGCCTATCAAAAAATTCAGGCCGCTCAAAAAATAATCCGTGAAGATCCAGATCTTGCTGTCACAACTCTTAAAGAATTATCTCAAAACTTCCCTCTCCATGCACGGTAAGCTGGCTCCCCGCGAAAATAAAAGCATTACCACTTCAGCACGTTGTCTCGTGAAGCTGTAGATTCCAAGACCAGAAAAGAAATCGAACGTAATCAGAAAGAGTCATTTGCGGAAATTGGAATCGATGCTGGAGAAACTGCTCTTTTTTTGAACGGTATCAATATGGATCTTGACAATTTGGATATGTTCCAATTGGTCGATGCTCTGAAGCAAGAAGAACGCTTAGCTAGTGGGTTCTTCAACATGGGATTCCGCGTAAGTGTTTTTTTCAAGTCTGAAAGACATGCTCTATTTACTAAAAGAAAGATTTCATTCAACCGTCGTTACGATGTTGTTTCCAAAAGATGAGAGCTCATACGAAGCATGTGATAGAAGTAGAAATATTCTGAGTTTCAGCGGGAATACTTATCTATACTTGTTGGTCTTGACTTGAGTGACGAAAAAGTCAACTATGCCATCGACTACAGAGAGTCATATCCTTTCGTAAGCGTTTGAAAATGGAACTCAATTATGATATCAAGTTTTTAGTATTTGAATAATTTGGACACAGACTCTCAATATAAACAATGGGGAAACAGTGTTAAGCTCATGCTTCAACCTTACTACCCAGGAATGATCAGGCCCATCGCAAGAAATCTGTTCACATTGGTAAATCGTATCAATGATTCATAACTTACGAAAGTATAGGTGTTTGTTGTGAATCCAGCTGAAAAAGAAAGCAGAAATCTCCTCCGCATAGCTTTGTCCTTCTACCAGCATGAAATACCTCTTAGGTACCAGCGAACTAAACAGTATAATCTATTTGTTCCCTTCTGTAGAATCGGTGTTGTATTCGCTGTTAACAATGAGAAGGATGTTAGTGGAAAAGATGATGCTGGTGTTGCCATCTTGAACTTGTTCAACTTCCTTACTGTGGATTCTTCTGTGAAAGATGCTCTTCGTACTATCAATAAGGTACACACTTCATAAGCAAGAAAGTTATTCAAGAATGTTTTACAGTTGCTCGATCAATACCGTACGAGACCTACTATTTCTGTTGAAGATATCAAATCTTGGTTTGAATCAAATTACAGTGATGCTGATTTTGAGGAAGTTTTTGGTCCCAATACTGATTACGACAAAGGAAGAAGCGTGAGTTTCTTTCTGCCAGTTGACCAGCGTACATTGGCTTGACTTAGGTTGGCGCAGAATTCCTTGAGAATACTGCCATTGGTAAAGCTCCTCAAGTGTTATTGAACGGTTTCCCACTTGATCAAACTGGAGTAAGAATTTTTATTTTTTTTGGCTTGGCTCTCAAACGGCCTGTTTCAGATCAAGGGTGACAAGTTTGAAGAAACAGTCATGTTGGAAGTCATGAAGATTACCCCGAAAATACAGAGAGCTGTTCAGAAGGGTCAGCTTACCGACAGAGTAAACGTTGGTAACTGGCTTGTCGACCAAAAGGACGTTATGCCTCGTTTGAATAAACGTATTCTGGATGCACCATCAACTAAGAACTATCTAGATCTCACCGACGTATCTCGTATGTTTAAAGTTGTAAACATTCAACTGTTTATCATTCTCTGTAGCGTGTAAGGCAAAAACATTGGTCCAGTTCAACACTCTCACAAGCAATGAAAAGAGTCAATGCCTCGTTGAAAAATCAAAATATCTCTCAAAGTCGGATGATGAAGCAACTCTTGTTGGTTTATTTCTTAATTTTCTGTAACCATAGACGTTTAAGGCCAATACTCTCTGGCTTGTTGCTGATACTGAAACGGAAGCTGGA